TTTTTCTCTAGTGTATACTTCTATTCCTAAGCATGTGGTTGATTTGGTTAAGTTGCCAAAGGCTCCTGGAGTAAGTGCATCAGTTGAAACTATGGCTGAAGAGATTTTAGCAGTTAGGAAGCTGTCAAGGCTAAGTTAGAGGCTACCGGGATGAAGAACAAGGTCGCTGCTGATAAACGTCGGAGGTTCAAAGTTTTCAAAGAAGGTGATGATGTAATAGTGTTCCTCCGTAAAGAGAGATTTCCAGTTGGTACATACAACAAGCTGAAGCCTCGCAAGTATGGCCCGTTCAAGGTGTTACGGAAGATCAGTGATAATGCTTATGTTGTGGCTCTCCCGGAATCGATGAACATTTCCAATACCTTTAATGTAACTGACATTCATGAGTATCATGCAGATGGAGTCCTTTATCCAGAAGAGAACTTGAGGACAAGTTCTTCAGAGGTGGAGGAGACTGACGTAGGAGAGACTTAGTTTTAGTAGTTTTACTTTTCTTTTGATATTTCCTTATTTCATGTTTCTATTTTGCTTAGAGTTTTCTATTTTATGTTTTGGTTTCTTTTCTATATAAAGAGAGATCCTACGTTATTTGCAAGACATGTTTTATCATTCTAATTAATAAAAGTAAAGAGCTTTTCTCTAATTTGGTGGGTTTCCAGAGTTTCAACCCTTCAAGTTCGACGCTTGCGAACTTGATTTCTATCTAGGTATAGTGTTTGCTATTCCTAGAGATTCCGACTGCGTCACAAAGTATCCAAATATTAGAAATTTTGTATCCTATTCTATGCAAAGTATTGAAAAATACTCAATAAATATATAAAACCAAAGTATTTTATACCCGAATCTAGCCAAAAGTAGCTAAAATACCAAAAGTATCTTAACATCCGAATAATTTAGGCACTTAGGTTATTAAAAGTATAAATATTACTAATACATTATAACTATGTACTTATATTTTGGGTATGTTCAGGTACTTATTCGGGTTCGGGTTCGGGTTTGGGTCGGATTCGGGCTCGGGTTTTTGGGTTGTGAAGTTTAAAACCCGTTCAAATATTTTAAAACTTCGGGTTGAGGTTCGGGACGGGTTCTGTTCGATCCTTCGGGTTCAGGTATTATGCCCATGCATACTAAGAATTAAACAACATAGATGAAGAGCCCATGCGTACTAAGAATTAAACAACATAGATGAAGAGCTTATGGACAAAATCCCTAAATCATCATAATAAACCTAACAATCTATGATTAATTCCACTTGAAACACGATATGGGGAACTAACAATCTATGAACCTAACTATCAGTTCAAAATAGCGAAATTGTGTTCACCACTCAAATCATAGAATTGCATAACACATTGAAATTGTTTTTCTTGCAAAACAACTAAATCCCGTTTTACTGCCAAAATTTCAAAATTAAAATTTTCCGCCAAAAAAAGGAGAACGGCGATTCCATGCTGATAAATAGCGTTTTCTACCCAAATTAAGGGCTTGATTGGTTTTCCCGCTAGCACCGTCCTAGCGGTTGCTAGTGGTCAGTTGCGGTTGTTAGCGGTTGGTACCAACCATAGAAATTGCTCCGTAGCGCTTTGAACCGCTCGAACGCTGAATTTCAAAAGCTTATTCCCGCAAGCGTTTGCGGTTGCGGGCGGTAGCGGTTGGATTTAAAAAAAAAAAAAATCAAACGTTTACTTATAAGTATTATAATATATATTAATCCTATATATATCTTTCATCTTTGTATCACGTTCTAATAAGAAACCCTATTCTCTCAACGTCTTCCACCCAAACTGATGAAAATCAAGAACCAAACGTAAGTATCATATATCCTTTTATTCATTCATCATCTCATGTGTAACTTTTTGAATATTTTTCTTGACATCTTTTTTTGCTTTTCATTACGTATTGCTTTGCTTTTTGATTGAATATATGTTTCCATTTGTTTTCTCGAATAGAAACTCACTTGCTTTTTAATTGAATTCAACGTTATTTACAGTTTGTCCCATTACTTGATGCAATTTTTGATGTTAAACCAGATGCATAAAGTACTATCTTGTTACAAAATTTCTTTATTTTTGAATAATTATTTAGTACTTTATTTATAGTTTTAATTATTAAGCATGTTCAAATTTTCTAATATTATCATAATAATATATTGGTGTTTTAATTTTTATTTTTTATAATAATTTTTATTTATTTTGGTCATTTTTTATTTAACTGCTACCGCATCCGCTGATTTACCAGTCATAAAACTCCCGCAAACGCATCTATTTTCAAACGCTAAACCAGTCCTTCAAAACGCTTGGTAATGCTTGAAACCGCAACCGCCCGCTTCCGCAAACTCCTACAACCGCAACCGCAACCGCTGCGTTTAAACCAGTCCGGCCCTAAAAATTCCATTATATTTACTGCCAAAACATGGGATCCACATTTTCCCGCTAAGGTTCACGTTTTCTAAAGAAGTAAATATGAATGCATAATTACTACCAAAACTTTGAAATTGCGTATTCTTGCCAACCACCGAATCGTGTTTGTTCACCTAAAACCGTGGAATATCCTTTTTGATAAAACAATGAAATTTCAGAAACAACTTAACATATTTCAATATATTTAATAACAAAGTTTTGTTATTTTATTATATTAACTAGATCAGGACCCGTCCGATGGACGGGTTTATTTTTTTAATTTAAATCAAATTAAACAATAAATTAAATTAAAATTAAATTTGTTTATAAGTAGAAATTATGTTTATAAAGTAAAAAAACATAACTTTTTTTTAAAGAGAAAGTTATTTATATATTCATTATTTTGCCTTAATACATTAATTTGCATTTCTATATTTTAAATTTATTGTAACGTTTTTTTATAACAGTCTAGTAAATTTCAGCTATCAATCATCAAACTTTTGTCATATATTTATCATTATTATTATTGCCAAAACGTAGTTTGCATTCTCGTCAAAAAAAATTTAACAAATTTTTAGAAAATATTTTAGATACAAACAACATGTAAAATCCTGATCTTATTTACATCTATTAACAAATTTTCTATTTACTTTACTACGAAATATTATTTTTGTTCATCCAATTATTTTTTAATGTTGAAGTATGCTCTTGACTACTATCTACGAAAGTTTCTAAGAAGACATTAATCCAAATGTATGAAAGAAAGTATTTAAATCATTTGATATTACTGTGTTATAGTTCGTTATTATATTCATAAATATACATGATCCACAAATGCGATTGTCGTTCTCTTTGCTAATATCATTTGAAATTTTTGATGGAAGAATTTGCGGTTCTTATTGCAATCTTGCACATTAAAGTTGTAAATTTCGATAAGACTTTCTTCACATACTAGAGAATGATGTAAAAAGCCTTGAATAGTATTGTTATGTTTTGAAATAAATTAAAATTTAGATAAATAAATAGGATAGCATTTAGGTTTAAGGAATAAAAATACTTTTTCATCAAGTAAGAGAAAATTTATTCATGTGAGCTCATTGTTTTCTTATAATTTCTCGTTTCCCACTTTTTTCTACCGTTCGACGATAAGAACGTTTTTTTTGTTTAGCTGATCTAGTGGTATATAATCTTTGTTGGTAGTTTGAACTTGTGTCCTCATGTTTTCTTTGAAAATTAAAAGAAATAACTGAAATTAGAGGTAACTAAATTTAAAGACCAACCAAGAATGATATATATATATAGTACGTAAATATATGATTTTAGTTACGTAAACATATGAATAGTTAAAAGAATGTTTTGACAAAGATTAGCCTCTTAATACAGTTTTGACAAATAGGTATCAATATAACGTATGACCTAGATATTAAAATACAACATATGACCTCTACATAATAAATTTTCCCAAAAAAAAAGCTTTATCATTAGAATGAAGTTGAAGCAATGGTGTTGTGTTTGAAGAAATTCTTTGTTTGGTGAGAAAATATGATATTATCAATTTGTTTATATAAAGTGGGTTTTAGAATCCTTTTTCTTCTACGATTAATAATTGAATGTGTAATTTCCTTAATTATCGTATTTTATTAATTAATTATATATATTTTTAATGTCACTTTTTAATTTTGAAGGTAAAATTAATCCTTTACGTTTTGAATAGTAGCTTTAAATTAGAATAAGTTAATGATATTATAATTTATATTTTAAAATAAAAAGATACATATATTTTCTTTATAATTATTTTACGGCTTTGCCCAATATCAATAATATCACAAAGGCTTGTGTAATATGATCACCTTATTAGAAAATCAAATCTTCTCTCATAATTAGTCGCAATCTGCTGCCTCGTAAAAGATGGATAAAACAAAAGTGGAAAAGATTGATACTTATTAACGTAGAGAGAAGCATGAAGTGATCCAGATTTTTACCATCCAACTAATCTCTTTAGGATGAGTGAAGCCGTTGAATAACAAAAAATTGGTTCTGCTGTATATTAGGGAGTTATATGTAAATATAGTATAATTCCTAGAGTTTTATGTTAATATTTTTAAATATGTTTAGGTTTTTTTATAACATGTATATATACTCTTTCTTTGAGATGAATAAGACACAACATTCTCTTTATCTCTTATCCTATCTCTTTATTCTTTTGGCATGCTGTATTACAAATATAAAATGCAATTGGTAGTGCTGTATATGAAACATGTGCAATTTAGAAAATAATTATATAAAAGTGTCAGTCATGCTCACACAGGCACTTGTTGGCCAAATTGGAAAAGACAAACCGTTCGTTTTAACCTAATCCGTAGCTCATAAAAAATACATAGTTTTAAGGTCGTAAACGTGATTCCATTGATATTGAAAAACAAGGCTACTATATTTGGGGTAGGTATGCCAATCAATTTTCTTCTTAGAGTATTTAAAAACAAAAATAATGAGTAATTATCATTTAATTTAACATAACAAAATAAAATTAAAATCGAACAAATCAGATTGGATCAATTCCTACTTGATGACAAATATATAAGAAGATAAAAACGGCTCCTCTGTTCCTAGCAAAAATCGATAAAACAAAAATGATTGATGACCAACTTGACTATGGTTTAACTGCTATAGTTGTATCCTCTGTTTGTTGGTTTCTTTGGCTTTACGCCAAGTACAAACCGCGGTCTCCACCGTTGCCGCCGGGACCTTGGGGCCTTCCCATTATCGGATTCCTTCCATTCCTCAAACCGGAGCTTCCAAGAGTTGGCTAAAAAGCATGGTCCCATTTTCAAACTCTGGCTCGGGGCGAAACTGACAATCGTGGTCACCTCTTCTGAAGTAGCCCAAGATATTCTCAGAACGAATGATATCATCTTCGCAAACCACGATGTCCCTGCCGTTGCTCCCGCCAATACGTACGGTGGTATGGAGATCGTTTGGTCACCGTATGGACCAAAGTGGCGGATGCTGAGGAAACTATGTGTTAATAGGATACTGAGCAACGCGCCAACGCCATGTTGGATTCTTCCACTGACCTCCGTCGCCGAGAGACTCGGAAAACCGTCCGGTATTTGGCGGGCCAGGCTCGGGTCGGTTCACCGGTTAACTTGGGAGAACAAATATTCTTGATGATGTTGAATGTTGTGACGCAGATGCTATGGGGCAGGACGGTCAAAGGCAAAGAGAGGGAGAGTGTCGTAGCCGAGTTCTTAGAGGTGATTAGAGAGATGAACGACCTCCTGCTAGTGCCCAATATATCCGACTTTTTTCCGGCATTGAGCCGATTTGATCTACAAGGTTTGGTTAAGCGTATGCGAGGACCAGCTCAGAGGATGGACCAGATGTTTGACCGGATTATTAACCAACGGTTGGGGATGGATAGGGAAAGTGACTGGAAAACTGAAGATTTTCTGGATGCCTTGTTGAAAGTTTTGGATCGGATGAAAAAGATGAAAAGATAAAATTGACCATGAACGATGTCAAGGCTCTGCTCGTGGTATGTACAAAAATTTGGAGTATTTGCACTCATGTCCAAAAAAAAAATTGTTATTATTTGATAGCAATATGTCACGTATCATTGTCATTTACTTATATCAATCTACTCCATTGCCACTTGGAAAATTCAATCAAAATTTTGTTCCTAATGATGAGTGTGATAACGCAAATAGGTGTTTTTTTTTTTTTTTTTTTTTTTTTTTTTAATTTGGCTTGTTTCATATATATGTAGGACATGGTGCTCGGTGGTACAGACACATCACTACACATCATAGAATTCGCGATGCCCGAGCTATTACACAACCCGGATATCATGAAGAGAGCTCAACAAGAGCTTGACAAAGTTGTGGGCAAAGAAAAGGTTGTGGACGAATCTCACATCTCTAAACTTCCATACATTCTTGCCATTATGAAAGAAACTCAAAGGCTTCACACGATTGTTCCACTCCTTGTTCCTCGCCGACCGTCAAAAACCACCGTGGTGGGCGGCTTCACCATCCCTAAAGATTCAAAGATTTTCATCAATGTGTGGGCGATCCATAGGAACCCCAATGTATGGGAGAATCCACTAAAGTTTGATCCCGACAGGTTTCTTGATAAGTCTTATGACTTCAAGGGAAATGACTTCAACTATTTACCGTTTGGGTCTGGTCGTAGAATATGTGTGGTTGTTCTTTACAATCTCGCTACGTTATTGCATTCTTTTGATTGGAAAATTCCACAAGGAGAGAGAGTGGAGGTGGAGGAGAAGTTTGGGATCGTGTTGGAGCTAAAGAATCCACTTGTTGCCACGCCCTTACTAAGGTTGTCCGATCCAAATCTTTATCTTTAGAGTTTCAAGTTCAACACAAAGAAATACTGAATGTTATACAGCGGGCTTATTTGTGTTCTGTATTATTTAATAAAAGCCGTACAATGTCTTTATTGCGGGAATAAATTCTCCATAACTTATATGTGTTGTATCTTGTATGATTTTAATAAAAGGCGTACAGTATCTTCATCGCGTGAAAAAAATATTGTATCCATTTGATCTATAGAAATTTAGGAAACTTAGTTTAAAATTTGGTGTTTGATGAAATTTATTGTTACATTTGGGCACAAAGGTTCATGAAGTGATGGAGCAGCAAAAGATAAGCATAACAAAAGCTGGAATACAAGCAAGTAAGCAACCTTAAATGTCATAAAAAGCTTCAACTATCCGTTCCGTTGAAACAAAGTCTCAATTTTATATCTAGACAAATATATATCAATTTTTGTTTTTGTTTATTTTCTATTAAATCTTAAACTTTTGTTGCCTTTACTAATTTAGGCACATCGTTAAGTCGGTAAATGGAACAAATAAATGGTATTGTGTTTCTACTAATAGGCTTCTGTTAATTAGCAAATCGACATCGTATGAAATCAGATATAAAATTTCATTTGGAAATATTGGGAGAATATAAATCGATTTGAGTACTTTGTTTTGTTTTCAAAAGATACCATTTTGCCCCATATAAATGAAAGCTCATTAATTGAATCGAAGCATCAACTGTTTGATTTGTTTCATGACTTAACGTGGTGTTTATATTAGCAAAGTCAACAAGAGTTTACGATTTATCAAACTCAAGCTTGCAAGAAAATTACATCAGAAGAGTTATATATCGGTTAGAAGCTAACAGTTTGTTAATTGAGTCTTTTTATTGAGTCAAATAGACATTGTTTTAAGATTGATCTTCATCTGGTTTTGTTGAAGAGACAAGTTCTTAGTACATTTACAAAAGAAAAATATAGAAGCTTGTTATGATTCTAATTCACGTAATGTTAGAAGATCCAAGGAATGAAGCATTGTCGATTATCCATGTTTTTTTTCTTCTGTGGATGATGATGGTTGAATTTTGTAATAGATGAAGAATAGTGACTTAGATTTGTTGAAAGTTAATTACTTGATGGGCTTGGTTGGATTCAGAAGAGAAATGTAATTCGAATTTGGATTCTTGTTAATTGATTGGTACGATACAATTCTGGTTTAAGTTGACACTGACCGGGTTAATGAATAGTATTCAAGATTTTGTCCATGTCCTGACAAGTTATGGGGAAAACGTGTTTGCGGAGTATCAAGTTCTGACATTAGGAACTGAAATCCATCCATGGAGAATGATTGAATGTTGCATGCTACATTATGCTAAAGATGTAGGGATATGCATCAATGGAGTTTTGTACTAGCTATCAGTAGGTGTATATATAGAAATTTAAATAGGAGTTTGCTTTGACGTTAAATCTGAGAAGTTCAGCTATATTAAAGTCATTATGATGAAGAGCTTCACTACACTTATGAAATAACTAATAAGTAAAAGAATTGAGTTGAGGATTTTAGAAGATCTCCAAAAGCAGGAATGGTCCAAGCATATATATGAAGCAATAAGAACATGCTTGGAAATGGCTCTTTTAGAGTGACTCCGACAAATGATATTTGTGTTGTCGCGTTGCTACCCATCCGACCCTTTTTATCTTTACTACTTTAATCTCGAAAGGCACAATGCTGTTGCCGTAAGAGATGAAATCCGAGGACTGCCTTAGTCTAAGTTTAATAGACTTTAAACCAATCTAGACTGAGAATGTGAAGCTTGTATCATAAGTGTTTTTGGTACTAATAACTAGAGACATTTTTCTGGCTTTAGGTACTCATGACACATGTATCCTCTCCATGTCGTACCCATTTTGGGTAAGAACTCAAAAACCCAAAGCAGATCAAATCACCATCGATATCTTCTCTTACCTTAGTTTTGACCCTTGTTCTAAAAATCTCCGCCTAGCTCCAATTACTTCCCGCTTAATCGCTAGATCCATGCCACGATTAATGACTAATTTCTTGAAGAAATCAGTTACCCGATTACTCTCTGATTAATCTGATTTTTCACCGTCTAATCCGATTACTCTCCGCCTAATCTTGCAAACCCTAATTATTTTAGATTGTAGTATAAATCAACTTTTCTTTTTGTTATTTAGACATTTAGATTGAGGGTTTGTGATTTTTATAATAACAACTTATGTTCAAAATTTTAATAAAAATCATAAAATTTTGTCTTAAAAATATATTTTTATGTGTTTATTACAATTTTGAAAACAAGATTGGATTAATAAATTTTAATTAAAACATTAAATAACCCTAAAACTAGTCTCTGATTTCAATCCAATTTTTCGATTAATCGTTAGGCCCATACTAAGCGCCTGACTAACGCCTAGCGATTTTTTGAACAAGGGTTTTGACTAGAGAACAACGATTGCATGAAAATGTTATCATGTATATATATGTAATCTTGAGATAAACGTGGTTTGTTTATCCATGACTTATCCATCAAAACCTAGAAAAAAACGATTTGTACAATCTGTAAGCTTTAGATGATATTGACAAATTAAAACTTTTAGAATCAAAAAATAAATCTATGGACCATGAGAACCAATAGTCTAATTAAGAACCAACACATACTAAACTAAAATGTGGTTTAGACATCATCCCAGCATAAAGAACATCCAAAGAGCGACCAAAATTGATGATTTGCAAAAGAACTCGTCGCGGCATGATGGTTATCTTCAGACACTCTTCTTTTACAATCTTTGTTGATATCTCCAATCATTCTCTCAAATCCTTTACTTGCTTTTTCTCTGGTAACTCCATGTTCTTTCATATAGTATTTAACTGCATTTGCATAAAAACTTGATATAGCATGGCGGTTGTCTTCAAGCATTCCTTGTTTAAGGCTTTGCTGATATATATTAAAAAAACTAATTTGGTGTAACGCGCACGTATCTTCGGATCAAAGAATAAAAGAAGTTACATTTTTTGGCGTCTATAGTTTGATTATTTTAAAAGTTTTGGATTAGCATCAGATATCTGATTGTAGACTTCTCAAAGGATCTAGTACTTGAGTACTCCAAGGAATGAGCAGGTTCCTTGCCTCCTTTGTAGAAGTTTCCTCGGCAATGACTTCTTAGAAAGAAAGTGCATCTGAACTGCAGGCGGCCTGACTACCCCCTGTCACTTAGTCGGGAGACACACCAAACTCGGAATAGGCAGAGTGGTAGCCCGAAGGGCCTAGCCGTCTAGCACGGTGGACAAGTCCACTATGTTGCACCTCGGTGCATTCCTACTGGGGCCGACCGGATAGCCGATAGGGTATATCAAAGAAAAAAAAAAACTACTTGGTTTAAGTATTTTTTTTTTCTTGCATGTTTGATTATGAATTGGTTTAAATATTGGGCACAAATATTAATGATTTGGGCTCATGGGCTACTTGCTTGTAACACAATTCTTTTTTCTCTCTTTAATGGTGGGTATAACACATAACAAATTAAGGGGTGTATTACATCACATATTTATCCTTAATTTTGAGTTTTGGTGAGATTTTAGATGATTTTAGATGAATTTGAAATACAGGAAAGCTAACTGTCTTGTAGATGGGTTGACCAACTATGTTTTTACTTTGCCTTTAGGCTTTCACGCTTTTGATTTTGCCCCACCGTTTGTGGAGGATTTTGTTGAGAATGATTACCGCGGAACTGCATTTCCAAGGTCCGTTTGTAATTTTCTTTTCCGGTTTCGTTAATAAAATACAGGGAGGTTTAATTCACTGGTCCTTACCAAAAAAAAAAAAAGATGAATTTAAAGAAGTTTTATTATTTTTATAAAATTCTCTCAATTGTTCCATTTAAACCAAAATCAAAGGGACACGACTAATAATCATCGACGACAATCAGAAAGATGGCAGAAACCCATGTGCATGTACACGGTCATCATGGCCATATCTATCGTTATATAATTCGCATATTCAAAACCTTGCTAAGTTTAAGTAATAAACTTTTTTGAGAAAAACAACATAATTTAAAAAAGTTCCCCTAATAGATTAAATCTGATTAGTTATTAATTATACCAAGTAACTATACTATTAATAGGTAACAATTACTCGGGTTTAGGATGGTTCTGTACACTACAAAGTGAGGATGAACTAACTATGGGCGCGGCCAACCTCCGACGAAGTCTCACATGTCTACACACAGAAGTGGAAGCATTAGTTTGGGCCATGAGATGTATGATTGGCCAAGACAAACGCGAAGTAAGTTTCTATACAGACTGCTCAGACCTGGTGAAGATGGTGTCTTCTCCGACGGAGTGGCCAGCTTTTTCTACATATCTAGAGGCTATTCAGAGCGACAAGGATGAGTTTGATTTTTTCTCTTTATCTTTGATTTCTCGACATGCAAATTCAAAAGCGGATAATTTGGCACGAAATGTTTGTACCCAACCGCATCTAATTACCAATCTAATAAAGTTGTTGACAAAAAAAAAAAATTATACTATTAATAGGCTACTGAATCGCTTGCATACATTAGTTACTCACCAGTTTCTAGTAGGGGTGGGCATTCGGGTATGCGGGTCGGGTTCGGGTAAAACCCGATCGGGTACGGGTCTTTCGGGTAGAGGAGTTTAGGACCCAATAGGGTAAATCTAAAATATCGGTTCGGTTTCGGTTCGGGTTTAGATTTTTAGAACCGCTAAATACCCGAAAAAATCGGGCACCCATCGGGTTCGGGTATTTTATACCCAAATACCCAAAATTTTACCAAATACCCGAATTTTACCCGAAATTTTACTCTAATATCCGAATTTTATCCGCAATTTTACTCAAATATCCAAGTTTCACCCAAAAATTTATCCGAATAACCGGAATTTTGTCCAAATATTTAAAAAATTTACAAGCATCTCGCGTATAAATATATTTAGTCTTAAATATATAAATATAAGTGCATTTAATTTTTGGTAATTACTCTCGGATATTTGGATATAAATGTATTTAGCTCAAATATTACATATATATAAAGTTTTTATATGTATAAGTATAAGTAATTTTGGGTAATCGGGTACCCGTTCGGGTATCGGGTTCGGATCGGGTTTTACCCTATACCCACGGGTACGACAATACAAGACCCAATAGGATAAATAGCTAATACCCGTACCCGCCCCGAACCGGTTTTTTCGGGTCGGTTTCGGTTCGGGTACTCGGGTACGGTTTTTTTGGCCCAGGCCTAGTTTCTAGTTACTACTGTAGTTAGTGAAACTTTGGATAGCTACTTCTTTTTTTCTTCTGATACCTAGTTATGCATATGATTTGAGTTTTTTCTTTAATATATAAATTTTGGAAACTTTTCAAATAAAATTAATATTTATAGAGAGTTAAATTTATAAGCTATGAATTAAAAAAAATTATAAAATGTGAATTTTTTAAATAATTTAGTATTCGTTCAATTTTGTTATTTTTAATCAAACTACAATTAGAATTTTGTTTATACATAAAGAGGAGTGTAAACCATGTTGTGGTGAATATTTCATACTTTAAAGATCCTTAGATATTGAGGGAGGGATGTATGTTTTGAAAAACAATTATTTATACAAAATTAAAATAATCTATAATCAGTCTAATTTCCTTGAAATAGCCAGAGTATATGGATAATCATCTCCTATATTTGGTTGTCATTTTAATTTCTAAAATCAAGATTAAGACACAAATTTTAGATAACAGCTAATGAGTTGACCAAAATTTTTAAATAACTGTTAATTATTTTAGATATTTCTAATTCAATTAGATATAAATCAAATATAGTTTGAACAGACTAATAAACCTTACAAAAAGAATCCGTATATTCTAGATTTGTCAACTGTAATGCCAGCTGGCATATTTAAACTGAAATTACTTATTTACCCTGTGCATCCTTTTCATCGCTGTCTTTTCTTAGAACCTGAACCGGTTTCTTAAGAAAACCGAAAATTCATAATCACAATTATGCAAAATTCCGGTTTATGTTCCTTACAAAATCACTCAATAAAAATAAGGAATATGATGAATCAAGTATACAATTAAAGAAAAAACATGTATTGGTTTCACTTTTCATGTAACCGGTTTCGGGTTTACTAATGTGAACCGAACTTGTTTAACCAGCCAACAGAATCTATTCTGGCGGCAACGGGAAAAAGGTAGACAACGACAGAAAAAGAAAAGGGTAGTAACGTAATTTAGTTAAAAACCAATCGGTGATTAGAAGCTAATCTCTTCTATAATACGAGAAGGGTTTCATAAAAATCAGAGAGACAAAAAAAAAGTAGTTTGGAGAATTAAGAAGAACAAAGTCTATTCGAGACGAAGAAGAACCTCAAGAAAATCATCATCTCAGGTAAAACTTCATCATGAACAAAGATTTATACAAATTAATATACGTTACTAACCATTCATATACTCGTTGTAAAAAAATTATAAACAGGTTAGTTTTTGATAATTTAGACGTGATAATTGGGTTTTTTTTTTTTGGCTCTTTTGTTCTGCTTGTTGTTGGGTTTAATTTACTAGATATTTTTTCTTGAGATTCTAGAGATTATACATAACACGTATAAATTCAAAAAGACAAAGGTTGGTAACTAAATTTATGTTATAACTTATGACCTATAGTCTTAGTCTTTTATGTTAAAAGCTAAGATCGTTTGTTTTCGTTATGTTTATGTAAACAAATTACCGCAAACTATATAATATATATTGAAAACTTCTAATAATGTTTTTGTTTTTGGTGGCAGGTTAATAAAAAAAAGATGGGTTATTGGAAATCTAAGGTTGTTCCAAGGATGAAGAGATTGTTCGAGAAGAGTCCAGCAAAAAAGGAAGTTGTTGAGGAGGAGAAGCCACGAGAGGTGGAAGTTGTGGAGGAGGTCGTCGTGAAAACCGAAGAACCGGCCAAGGTCGAAGAAACCAAACCGGAGGAAATTGCAACCGGAGAGAAAGAGATAGAAATAGTTGAAGAGAAGAAAGAAGAGGCTAAACCCGTGGAGGTTCCGGTCCCGGAGGAGAAGAAGACTGCGCCAGTGGAAGAAAAGAAGCCAGCTGTGGAAGAGGAGAAGAAGCCTGCCGTGGAAGAGAAGAAACCTGTGGTGGAGGAGAAAAAAGAAGTTGTTGCCGCGGTTCCGGTGGCTGAAACTCCTTCGACCAAGGCTCCCGAAACTCCAGTGGTTGAAACTCCGGCCAAGGCTGCGGAAACTCCGGAATTTTCTTCATGGTACATTTTTCTACAAAAATATTGATTGTCTTTGTGTGGATAATTTATTTTCTGTGTTTATTTGTTTTATTATCCATGTGAAATTTCTCTATAACATTAATTTGCTTGCTTGAATTATATATTTTATGATCCAAATCTTATTCTCCAAAATTCTATTTCTGTTCATGTTTAAATTCAGTTTTACGTACTAAAAATTAATTCATGTTATAAATTATTGTTTTTAAGTGGTTTAGTTTTAATAGTTTTTGTAAATTTTAATCCAAATAATATGATTAACTCAGAATTTTTGTTACGAAATCGAGTTTAGTCCAATGACTCTCAGACTAACAAAAGATTATTGTTATACATTAGATATAAAATTAAACTATACTATACAAATCGTAAAACATTTAATAGAAACAAATTAGAAACTCAGCCTTATCAATGGATTGAATTGATCAAGTCGTTTCGATACGTGCAAGCAAGAACGAAATAAGATTAGGATGCAATTATATGCAACCAATTTTATTTTATTTTTAATCAAATGACGTGGTACGCACTCTTCTGCTCCACTGGAACTTCGTTTTCTCTCTTAACACATTAGCTGCGTAATCTTCCATGATAAGATTATTAGTATATAAAATACTTTTCATATTTTTGGATTCTTTGGACTTGTCTTAATGTATTCATGGGTTCAAGGTCATCGTTTTGACTATTGACTAATTCAATCCATTTTCGTTCAATATAAATTAGGTTAAACCGAGATCAGATGTAGATAATTCGATGCAGAACCAAGAAATTAGCTAATGAGTAAATGACGAATCGCACGAGAAAATTGTCAGTTACAGCATAAACTATGTCCAACGTTGAAATTCACACACTATCCAAAAGAGGTTACATCAAAGATTCATAAATTGTTGTGAAAATTCTAAGGCATCTTGCAAATTTTTTAAAACTCACCATACTGTTGGGCTTTTTATTAGCCCAATCGATGAAAGACTAACTATTCAATGAAAACATCAACACAACTACGTATCTATGATCTTCATAATTAAACTGTCAAGAGTACTATAAAAGATGAAAAAGCTTATGGCCTTATGGGTTTGATAACAAATCATATATCAGCTAATTTTGTTTTTAAAAAAAGAACTCAACACTCGCAGTTCTACTAGTTGATGTGAGTGTTGTAAGAGTTTGAGAAAACTTTGAAAGAAATGTTGAAGAAGATGGTTAAAACTCATATTTTCATTTTTTATCTTTCACATTACACATTCATAGTATTTATAGATTCTACCACTTTATCATAAAGTGACAAGTGTCTTAATCTTGTACTGAAAGCGTTAAAAACGGTTTTGTAGAGAAACCTTTGCAATATAAATATTGTTTTACTCTGCTTTTTATTTTGGATTGGTACTTGTTCTTTCAAGTACGGATCACTCTTTTGTGATACTTAACATAAAAATTCTAATCTCCTATCCAAACCATTGCTTCCCATAATCTTGGTTTTATTGTTCTTTACTGATATGAATTTTCAATGATTATCACCCCAAAATCGGCTATTAGCTAGCCAATTGAAGGAAAAAAATCTTCATATCATATTTCTATAAAAAATTGGACTGAGAAGTACTGTTTCTGCACTAGGACTACAATAAGCAAATAGTTTCTCATTGATTGCGTCAAGTTGTTATTTTAGAATCATAATTACTGAAAGTGGGGGAATGTTAGGCATCAGACCAGGCATTATCTCTTTGTTCTCATCATTGGAAATCTTCTTCAGATTGCTTTTCATTTTTGAAACAAGCTGGTCAACCAATTTTATGAGCAGAGGGTCACACTCATTAGATGACTTCCTCCCCTCGGTTAGACGAAACAACACATAGTTCAACCTTGCAGCTTTGCTGGAATTGTATCATTTTCCTCATGCCTTACGCAGGCTTCAGAGTAGAAAAGAACAGCTTTGAGTTCTACATGGTTCTTCCACCTTTCTTCGAAGTGATCCTTGAGAAAGGGAGAATCCTGAGCTTTCAAGGCTTCCTCATAGTATACGGCAAACTAATAACATCAAGAAAAACACACCTCAGTTTCAAAACAGAGACAAAATATTAAATTCATCGCACTAGACTCATAAATCCTGATCAGGTATAGGTAAGAACAACCTCATATGAAAGCTACATTTTCTAATTGTTATGAACAAGGAAGGAACAAAAGGGAAGGAAACACAAGATTGGGCACTAACTTGACTAGCAATTATGGCACATACAACATCTGTCGTGGTTGGGTTTAAAAAAAATTCGCAAACACATTCCTGCTCCTGTGCGAGCAACATCTGTTCCAACATGCCCGCGCACTCGATTGTCATAGATGCCTTAGAAGATTCGTAGTCCTTAAGTATGCGAAAAAACTTGCTGCGGAGATAAACTCTTGGCAAGAGTCATGACGGCCAATAACAGTGTTGCTGTCGAAGCTGAGACCATTCTCAAGGCACATAGCACCAAGATTGAACAAAACAACAACTTTCTCTAGATGTATGTTCTGTTGGGAAACCTGCTGCTCTTGTTGAAATGCATCATGCCATGTTGCAAAACAATGGAAACAGATTCTTTACCAAACAAAGACACCTCGAATATGTGAGGAGCGACTTACGGTGGTCTTTCACATTATGTTCTTGTGGACTAGTGTAAACCCTTCGAAGTAGTTTCAGAGCACGAACAAGTTTTTTTTATTCTCGAGCATGTATCATGTAAGTCTCAACGCAAAACAACGAACAATCCTTACGCACTGTTAAGAAGAAGCGCTGAAAGTTAGACACACTTTGATCAACTTGGCCTTACGATTTGGTGTGGTTTATATTGTGTTTACTAATTATGTAGTGTTTTTTTTTTTTACTTTTGATAAGTAGGGTTAAATAAAACCGACCTGGTTATTAAAAATTTAAAATAAAAATATTTAGAGGTTAAAATGATTTAAACATTTTTTTTTAGGTTTTAAAATAAAATACAAGTAGAAGCTGGAGAAACTTTTGTTTTCTATAACATTGCATCATTAAAGTTTTCTTCTATAAATTTGAAATTTTCAATCATTTGAGAAATGGAAGATGGATTGTTAAAAAGAGTAATGAATGATTCATAGAAACTTTGATTATTCGTTTTATTATAATAAAAAGAATCATGAAATGATGCTATCATCCATAAACATGAATAATATGATAAAAAACAAAAGTATTTCTAAGAACACATAGAAAAGAATAGAAAAGAACACATAGAAAAGAAAGAAAAAACAAAAACAATTGATATAGGTTGATAGAGTTTGATTTTCGCCGCAATTAGAAGTATTTCTAAGAAAAAATCACATTTTTAACTTTCAAAATGTCATCGCAGTTTAAACTTCAAAAGAATTTAACTGACACTACAAACCACAAAAATAATATTATTAACACTTTAAACTTCTAAACTAGCTTTATTGTTTGCACCCCCCATAATAAGATGACCGAACAGTAACGTCTGTTATCAAAACAGTTAACTTCTGAAAATTTTAGCGCTGGGAGTTCGGTGAAAACCGATCAAACCGACCCGATCAAACCGACATTTTCGGTTATCGGCGTAAACCGAACAGCTTCTTCCTAACCGATCGGCGAAATTAATTTGGGTAATCGGATTTCGGTTCGGGTCGGTTTGGTAATCGGAACCGATCGGTTTTACTTAAACCGAGAATCTGCAGCCATATATAAGGATACTGAGTCATTTACCCTAATTTGGTTTCATTTTCTTCTGCGCCTCTGCCTCTATCTAAAGCCGAGTTCATCTTCTTCTCCAACCTAAGCCATAATCAGCACCACGTTTCTTTTTCTTCATCAATTGTTGTTAGCTCTTCTTCTTTCTACACCCGTAACCACAATTTTTTAGGGATAAGCTCTTTTTTTCTTCCCTTAATCGCTTCTTAGTCTGATTATTTGTTGTTTTCTCGCTAAGCTCTTCCTCATCACCAAACTCACGGCTGGATTCACTGGTTACTCTTTAGATCTGACCAACCTTCGTTGGATTTTTATTTTTTTTTACTTTTATGTGGTTATGATGATGATATTTAATAGATCTTGTTGGTGGCAGATTTTCTTGCGGTTGGCAAATAACAAGCTTCATCGGACATAAAGATTTGACATCACCCTTGCCGTGGTTGCCTCGCCGTGGTTGCCTCGCCGTCGCCGTCGTTGTCTCTTTGTCACCGTCGTTGTCTCGTTGTCACCGTCAACCATTGTCGAAAACCCTAATTTTAATGGGTTGGGCCTTGTAAAATTATTTATTGGGTTTGTAAATTTGTTAATGTATTTTGATGATGTAATGAGTTTGGGCTTTGTTTTCAGCCCAATATGCAATTTTTTTTTGTAATTCGGTTAAATTAACCGAAATAGAAAATGATCGGTTTAATTTCGGAACTAATTTTAAATCCTATAACCCGAGTACCGATCAACCCGAACCGAAATTAATTTCGGTTCAATTCGGGAAGATTTTTCAAAACCCGAATTTCCCCAAAACCGAATAACCCGATTTCACCGAACTCCCAGGGCTAGTAAATTTAGTTAAAATTGTGAAAAATAAATTTAAATTGAAAATAAATAATTTATTTATTACGCTTAATTAAAAATGACAAAAAAAGACTTCAGCTTCTTCGTCTACTCACAAAGCTTCCATTGCTTCACTACTTCGCTCAAACGAATTGGAACTTTATTAGACCAGTCACTAAGATCAGGTAAGCCTCCGGTTAAAGCTAGAAAGTTGAGACCTTGTGTATCCGGTGTTCTCTTCCAGCAAACCTGTAACCACGAAAAAACCGCAAATGACATTTAACTTTTATTCAAAACGAGCGATTAACAAAAAGGATGAAGATGAAATATGTTACTTACTTGTCCAGGAAATGCTTCTGCCAAGATCTTGACAGTGGAATTCAACATCACGGCTGAATCATCTAACAACAACTGAGGCTTTCCATTCTGCAATTCTGTTTCGATTCCCGCACAATTCACCATAATGCGACCGTTAGGCATCAGCCTACTAGCAAGATCCAACCAAATAGGGACCTAAAGAAAATCGAAATCAATACACCAAAGACGTTAAGTGTCTATATGTGACTAATAATACCAAAAATCATAACCATGTAAAGTACCTGTTGAAGCTGATCTAAGACCTTTCCATCAGCAAACAAATCAACAATGATCCCTAAATAAACATAAGAATTCAGAACAAGAACCAGAATATATAGCCTGACATATATTGATTTTGAAATCTCACCAGCATATCTTCCTGAAACATCTTGAGAAGGAGAGAGAGCATCATCTACATGGACACAAAGTCTACCGCCTTTTGATGTTGGTTTCTCTAGCTCAGACAACCCAAGATAGTCCCTTGCTTTCTCAATCAACTACTTTCCATAAAACAAATCACAATGAATTCAAGATTCCAATATGTAAACAAAACACCGCAACTAAATCTTATCGGGTCAAGATAACTTCTTACATACAATTTCATCAATTTCCCAACCTTCAAGCTGCAATGAAGGCCACAACTCAAGAATCAATCTTGCAGCTGTTCCACCACCCTAAGAAAATACATGAACAAAACACATCTAAGACAATGGATATCAAATCCGTATGAGATACATCGCATAGTTTCTCACCAAGCCGTAGATTGCAACGGGACCATTAGGGATAATAGGCGGCAAACTCGCAAACTCATCCTGCAACAAAATGTTAATGTAATTCAAAACTAAGCACAATGTTCTGTTTACCTTTGACAAAACCACATTTAACTCTCAATATAGAAACAACCAAAGTTATAATTTTTTGAAGCAATGTCAATAACAAAAGATTGATGCAAACAAAAATCAAACATACCCAATAAGATCCAGTCCAATTTTGACCTCCTTTATTGATAACACTATGCACATTCTCTACATAGCAAGGTTTAAGAAAATCAGAGGATAAAATAGTACAAAATCTCTAATCCAAAACAGAGGAATTAGGGTTAATAGAAGTCTCACTAGTTGAATCAAGAAGAAGATATCTGGAAGAAACAGTATCGACTATAACAATCTCATTGTATCTGCTTCTCACGGCTGTAACAACCCAATACTCTTCTTCTTCTTCGTCGTCATCTTTGCTAGGTTCTTGTTGAATTTGCCTCTCATCACGATCACTTTGCTTGAGGCAAAACGAAATTGAGAATCTGGGTTTGTTCTGAGATGGGTTTATGAACAAGGGTTTTGAAAATTGAGATGAAAGGAAGCAACTTTCGTATCGAGAAAGTGAATGTAGCGATGAGATGGTCATGGAAGAACTCAAAGCTGCCATTTTTTTGGTTTGTTTCAGTGATCGATCACTTTGCGTTCAAAGTCTTATCCTTCTTCTTCCTTCAGTTTTACAGATTTAGCTCAAAAGCAAAATTGAGCATTTGCAACGGTAAGTGTCTTGCCGTTTATTGACTAAACAAACGGCACGATTTGTTTATCTAGAAAGTCAAAACTAATAAGGTCCTTTGTTGCCAACAATTTCGATCAAAATGCTTCTTTGTTATAAATACGAAACCAATAACCAATAATAACAATAACGCTGACTAAGATTTAACCCGCGGTACACCGCGGAGCAAAATATTATTTTATGTATGTCATATAATAATTTATAACTTATTGGATTTTTAAATTGATGTTATAAAAAGAATTCTCATTTAATTATTTTATATTATAATTAATATAGTTGAAATATGTGTACTAAAAAGATTCGTAGGTGTAGAATTGATATAGTGTTAATATTGGCAAGCATTTATAAATATGAACTATTATAATAATTTCATATTATTTTGTATCAAAAAAATTACCCCGGCATATATTGCGGGTCGATTTTTTTTTAACTAAAATTTTTAAATTTTAAGTTATGTTTGTTTTGTTAATATTGTTTGCTTTGTTTAGTATTTAAGATTATATAATTATATTTATATATTTAATTATAGGTTTCACCTGTGGTATACCGTCCCGTATTAATATCGATCTAAACCCGTCCCACCATATAACTCAGTTTTGTATTCAGAATCATTTTGGTCCTTTTATAGTATGATTCTGAACCATTGCTAAATTTTTTAAGCAATGTGGGACATTGTATACATATTTTCTCTTCATCGATTGAGTAATATATGTCCGTTTTTTAAAATTTGAATCACATTATATGCAGAAAAAATGTATTATTTTATTAATTATATGTATTTTATATAAATTCAAAATAAATTACTTTAAGATCATATAAAAGTGAAAAAAAATCATATATTAATGTTTAAATTAGGTAGAGATGTTTTAGGAAAATTTAGAAACAAAATCAATTTATTACCATATTTGGAAGCCAAAATTTCTAAAATATTTTTTCAAAAATATTTTGTAATATTAATTAATAGATAAACATTTATGACAATGGCATTCTTTGTAAATACTTAGCAACTCTAGGATTTATTTGCTAAGTGTACTCCAAAAATGTATATATAGATTTGCTAAGTGTACTCCAAAAATGTATATATAGATAATTGAGTTATATGAATGCATACCTTCATTTTTTTAAGATAAATTTTAATTATTACCACTTGTTTTTAATCAATTTCACAAATTAGAATCATTTTTTCAACGTTAAACTATAATAAAAATAAAACTCATAAATTATCTTGTTCAAGTAAACCAAAAACAATTATTTGTTAGAGATATACTCAGTTAATCATTATGAAATCAGTATGATAAATTCACCCACTTCAGTCAATAAATTCAATTATATAAGGCTAAAGTATCTCATATAAGGCGAAAATATCTTCAGTCAAGTGGTTAAATTCTCAAATCATTGTCTAACAACCCGAACTCAAAAATGAGTCCAAAATAATTGGATGACTAAAAGGAGTAACTGAAAAGTTTTTATCACCAGTTTCCATGTTTGTTTTACGGCTTGTAAGCCGAGAAATCGCTTGATTTTCCTAATCACCTTACTACTTTGTTGTGTAGTGTGTCTTGTGCCGGCGAAACTCGAGGCTATGGAGTCATCTTCAACGTCATTATGTCAATTGACTATGACCAATCTTCCACTTCCTAGATTTTTCGTGGTCATGTCTCCGACTTAGAATTTTCTTGCATGTGACATTGTTTTCTACAACTCTTGTCTCCGAATTATCATATGGTTCTATCGTCGGATTATCATAGGTGTATGTTATTGCTTTTAATTTTGTTGTTTCAAACAATGAGAATGTCTATTTTCCTAAGCCTTGTACTACATTTGAATGATTGAATGAAAAAAAAGCTGTATGTTTTTAACTAATAGAAGATCTAAGACTAATATTAACAACTTAATCAAAATCTTTAACTCAAAATCAAAGTATTGTCTATCAAACTCAATATAAGGAACACTTTTAAGACAATCGAATTTAAGATTTAAAACCCTTCGGTTCAAATGTGAAATTCATATGTACCTCTTTTTTGTCCATTTGTGTATCTCTCTACTCAATTGGCAAAATAAATCATACACAACTTCCACTATTCACATGAGAGTTTTTTGATCAAATCTTTTGGCAAAACTCTTTGATGTTTAGATGCATTCAAAGCACTGATATTTAACGGGGTCTCGCAAAGCTTCCATAGCTTCACTGATTCGCTTAAACGGACTGGAACCTTGTTAGACCAGTCACTACGATCAGGTAAGCCTCCGGTTAAGGCAACAAAGTTGAGACCTTGTGAATCTGGTGTTCTCTTCCAGCTAACCTGCAACAACGAATAATCGCAAGCCGGGTTTTAATCTTTTGGTTCTTTTCATTTTAGAGTAGTTAACAAAAGGATATGAAGATGAAATGTGTTACTTACTTGTCTAGGAAATGCTTCTGAGAAGATCTTGACTGTAGAATTCAACATCCAAGCTAAATCATCTAACACCAACTGTGGTTTTCCATTCTGTACCTCTGTTTCGATTCCCGCACAATTGACCATAAGGCGACCGTTAGGCATTAACCTACTAGCCAGTTCCAGCCACATTGGAATCTGTACAAACTCAAATTCAAAAAGACTCGGTGTCACAAAGTTGACTATATTATACTAACACCATAACCAGTTAAAGAACATGTTGCAGCTGATCTAAAACTTTTCCATCAGCGAACAAATCAACGATGATCCCTAACATCGACATAAGAAGTCAAGAATTCAGAAAAGAAAAACGGAATAAGCAACATACATTAATTAACCTGTAAATCTCACCAGCATATCTTTTTGAATCATCTTGAGAAGGAGAGAGAGCATCATCTACATGAATACAAAGTCTACCCCCTTTTGATGTCGGTATCTCTAGCTCAGACAGCCCGAGATAGTTTCTTGCTTTCTCAATCAACTACTGTTCATAAAATAAAATCACAAGTGAACTCAAGATTCCAATATGCAAACGAAATGCCTCAAGAAAAAACCGATAGCTTACTTACAATTTCATCGATTTCCCAACCTTCAAGCTTCGTTGAAGGCCACAGCTCAAGAATCAATCTTGCAGCTGTTCCACCACCCTAAGAAACACAATGAACAAAAAGTAAAACACATCATTGACTCATTGAAAGCCTATATTCATGTACATCTCAGACAATAGGTATAAGATTCCTCGCGTAGTGCTCACCAAGCCGTAGATTGCTATGGGACCATTAGGGATAATAGGAGGCAAACTCGCAGACTCATCCTGCAAACAAAAATGTTGATAGGACAAAAAACCACATTTTACCTATCAATAGAGAAACGACCAAAGATATGATATTTGCAACTTTATGATATGAAAAATATCATAACATACCCAATAAGCTCCAGTCCAGTTCTGGCCTCCTTTATTGATAACACTATGCACATTCCCTACATAGTGAAAAACTTAGGTTACAATAAAAAGATCTAATATCCAAAAACAGAGTAATTAGGGTTTTTAAAGTCTCACTAGTGGAGTCAAGAAGAAGATATCTAGAAGCAAAAGTATCGACTATAACAATCTCATTGTATCTGCTTCTTACGGCTGTCACAACAGTAAACTCTTCTTCTTCTTCGTCGTCGTGTTCTTTGCTGCCAGATTCACTTTGCTTGAGGCAAAAGGAAATTGAGAATCTGGGTTTCTTCTGAGAAAGGTTTATGAACAAGGGTTTTGAAAATTGAGATGAAAGGAAGAAACTTTGGTTGCAAGAAAGTAAATGTAGAGATGAGATAGCCATGGAAGAACTCAAAGCTGCCATTTTCGGGTTTGTTTTCAGTGATCTCTTTGTGTCCAAAGTCTTATCCTTTCTTCAGATTACAGAGTCTTCTTCAGCTTAAAAGCAAGATTGACTATTTGCAACGGTAAGTGTCTTGCCGTTTATTGATTGTACAAACGGCACTATTTTTGATTATAGAATGTCAAATTTTGTGTTCAACTCTCGACCTGAGCTGACAAACGGACTGGTCCAAAACTTATCCTGAAACGGCATAGAACATAACCTGAAACTATAGCCCAAATTTGGTAAATAAAATATCAGTGTGCAACCACACGTGGATTAAATTTGACTTGCGGACTTTGTCTGCTTTAACAACTTTAACGAGTGTTGAGAAAAACGACACGATTTGTTCTCTCCAATAAGAGATCTTTGTGTTGGTTCTAAGGCTACACGTAAGCAACGAAATGGCCACAAACATACATTATAACACTGATACTTAAGTTATTTGTACAAATGCCTTCTATTTTTCTTGTTATTTATAAAAACAAATTATTTACAATTTTTTCAATATTATTCGTCCAAATAGACTTTTTTTTTTTTCCAACCTTGGAGGCTTGAATTACAAAACAAATAGAACTTTTAAATTATCTTGTTTGAGATTGACAAATAAAAAAGATTCATCTTGTTGGTCTCAACCTAAACAAGTCTTTATAAGATATACACATTGTATTATATTATACAATTATTAGTATGAAATTCACCATATTAGTAGTTCAATTATAAAATAACTTAAAAAATTCAAACGTATCCAATATTTTTACAAATAATCTAAAATCACTCGTAATTTCTCATACTCGAATCCAATTTTTCTTCATCCCGTAAATAAAAAAAAAAAAGATTGGCACACATTGCAACGGATAAACTAAATAAGAGCCTTTCATTTTCTTTGCCTCCTCACCTTCTTCACAAAATATAAACACTCTCTTCACAAAATCTCCACTCTCCACCAAATTCACCAAAAAAAAACCCTAATTTTTCCTCTCCTTCAATGGCGATTTCATCACCCGCCGCTACTTCTTCCTCCTCAAAACTCCTCAATTCCTTCACTTCTCCATCAATCTCCACCATTAAACCAAAATCCCTAACTCTCTCTTCCTACTTCCTCCCACCAATCACATCTCTCTCCATCACCACCACCACAACAACAACAACATCTTCCTCCCCTCACCGTCTCCGTCGCGCCTTCACCGTACGCGCCGCCAGAGGAAAATTCGAACGCAAGAAACCACACGTCAACATCGGAACAATAGGTCACGTTGACCATGGCAAAACAACACTAACCGCAGCGTTAACAATGGCTTTAGCTTCAGTAGGAAACAGTGTAGCCAAAAAATACGACGAAATCGATGCAGCTCCTGAAGAAAGAGCTCGTGGTATCACAATCAACACTGCAACGGTCGAATACGAAACAGAGAATCGTCATTACGCTCATGTTGATTGTCCTGGTCATGCTGATTATGTCAAGAACATGATTACTGGTGCTGCTCAAATGGATGGTGCGATTCTTGTTGTTTCTGGTGCTGATGGACCAATGCCACAAACTAAAGAACATATCTTGTTGGCGAAGCAAGTTGGTGTTCCTGATATGGTTGTGTTTCTTAATAAAGAAGATCAAGTTGATGATGCTGAGCTTTTAGAGCTTGTTGAGCTTGAGGTTCGCGAGCTTTTATCGTCTTACGAGTTTAATGGTGACGATATTCCGATTATTTCGGGTTCTGCTTTGTTAGCTGTAGAAACTTTGACTGAGAAACCTAATGTTAAGAGAGGTGAGAATAAATGGGTAGATAAGATTTATGAGTTGATGGATTCTGTTGATAGTTATATCCCGATTCCGACTAGGCAGACTGAGTTACCGTTTTTGTTGGCGGTTGAGGATGTTTTTTCGATTACTGGTCGTGGTACGGTTGCTACGGGGCGTGTAGAAAGAGGTTGTGTTAAGGTTGGGGAGACTGTTGATTTGGTGGGATTGAGAGAGACTAGGAATTATACGGTTACAGGGGTGGAAATGTTTCAGAAGATTCTTGATGAAGCTATGGCTGGTGATAATGTTGGATTGTTGCTTAGAGGTATACAAAAGGCGGATATACAGAGAGGTATGGTTTTGGCTAAGCCGGGTTCGATTACTCCGCATACTAAGTTTGAAGCGATTGTTTATGTGTTGAAGAAAGAAGAAGGTGGACGACATTCGCCGTTTTTCGCTGGGTATAGACCTCAGTTTTACATGAGGACTACGGATGTTACGGGTAAAGTGACTAACATTATGAATGATAAAGATGAGGAATCGAAGATGGTTATGCCTGGTGATCGTGTTAAGATTGTTGTTGAGCTTATTGTGCCTGTTGCTTGTGAACAAGGGATGAGGTTTGCTATTAGAGAAGGAGGAAAGACTGTTGGTGCTGGAGTGATTCAGTCGATTATCGAATGAGAAATTAGTGGGTAAAAGAGAGTTTCGCAATAGCGAGCTTTTGTTCTTGCTTCTTTTTTGTTTGGTTTCTTGGGTTCACTATAATTCACAAACTCTTGAAAATTTGAATTGCAATTTAATTAGTGTTATTTTTCTCCTTTATTTTTCCATCATTTTGTATGAAAAACTCAGAATAAAAAATGTCATATATTCTTTGGTTTCAGTCTGAATTCATTGACCAATCTTCTTTACAAAGTACTGTGACAAAAGTAGTTCAGGATTTTCAGATCCGATCTTAGATCCAATCTTATTATCCATTGTTTCACAGTAGCTCCTTACAAATTTGAATCCATAATTCGTGATCTAAAATATATTTGAATTTCATAGATCTCCCTTTGCCCAAAAAAAAAAAAAAGTATATAGATCATGATCCGAGTTTTTATTTTGGTTGAATGTGAAAATATAATATAAATAAATAATTTTTTTATTTTTCTAAACTTTTATTTTCTGAAATTAATTTTGTAAATTTTTCTCCTCCTAATTGGGCAACCAATGTGGTTGACAAAAAAAAATATAAAAAAATATTTTTTTATCTATCGTATTTTGAGAGAAAGCACCAACTTACTTTTTTTTTTCAAAATCATCAACTTTTGTTGACTTTTTATTTTAATTACATACTTTTGTTGACTGTTCATTTTAATCAGAATATTTTGTTAACGAACCAATTTAAGTCCGTCGTGAAATATTTTGACGAAATGAGTTAGCAAGGTTAACTCTCTTTACTTATCTTCGTAATCAGGCTATCGATAAACTTAACACAAATTATTATCGGAGATTTAATATGTTTCGTTAAAACACTTAAAATGTGTCTATATTGGCTTAGTGAGCAAAAATTTGTAACTAAAATAAAAGGTCGAATTAATTACGGGAATGAGCTTTATTCCAACATAAATTATCAAATCCGGTTCATATGCCTATACTTGCTGGTTTAGGCATTTTTCCTTATACCAAAATTTCTTTTTTACCCTTACATCCAACGACGAGAAGCTTTGATGACGTTTCAATTTCGACGATGAATTCTCTGTGACAACGTTTAACAACGATTTGTGGAGATGATGATGAAATTCGGAGAACGAAATTGTGAAAACAATGATAAATGCGGTGATCGAAATGGTGGTGACGATGAAGAGATTCGGTGACGTTGAGGAGACGAGACGAAGAAGAAGACACTGGAAATTAGATGGTGGTGATGATGAGATCCGGTGACTACGGTGGTTTTCGCGTTGGTGAGAAGCAAGTAGAAGAAGAAGATGATGATAAGATCGGGAACACATAATTTACAAAGTTGAGATTTGAAGATGAATTGAAAGTTTTGATTCAATTAATATTTGTGATTTGACCCCTTGGGTTTATTAGATACTATCCCCCATAGGGTTTAGTTTCCTTTAATTCCATTGAATTTATCAGATCGTTGGCGTCGGCGGAAGAGAGATTTTATATTTTGGAGGTGAAAAAGTTGGTCCTAAAAGTGACGGAAACGGTATTGATGGAGCACACGGTGGTGAGAAGCAAGGATTAAGACCGTGAAAGCGAGTATTGTGGTCGCGAGAGGAAGCAAACGTTTTGGTCGGTGGAGGAAACGTGGTGGTGGTCGGGAAAAGAGAATGAGGAAGAAGATACAAATGATAGGGGTAAATGTGTAATTTCATTTAGCCAATAAATGTCTAAAAACGAAGCTCGGACGTTTGTTCCTTATCTCAAATTTTTTGCCCAACAAATACCCAATTCAGTAATAACCCCGTAGGTCAACAAAAAGTTTGTGATATAAGGCGTCAAAGGAAAAATGGGTGCTTTTCCAACTAAATATGAAAGTTGGTGATTTGTTTTAACATTTTTTCCAATTTCTTTTTCGTTGGACTTAAATAAATATTCTCAAACAAATAAATATTTAAAATAAAAAGTGATGTGATGGAAAATTTCCTATGGATATGGGATGAAATAGGACTTTTGTTTTCTGACGATCCGTTTGGATACATAGTTTTGAAAATTCTTATATAAAGAATATAAATTCAAATAATCATGTGTTGAGAACTTGAAAAATTGTATGACATTACTTTATACAAATATAAATTACGTTCCAATGTTTTAAGAGAACAAATATGTTCTAACAATGAAAATAATTAAAAACACAAAATATATAATATAGATGGTGATAGAAGAAATTTCATTATTTCAAACAAGGGAAATATCACGTAATGAGGATTGACTGTAAATTGATTGAAAAAACAGCAGAAAACAATTAAAATATCATTGAATTTTGAAAAAAAACTGAAATCGGAAAGAAAATTAATATTTGCCGTAATCTATGTTGGCGATAGGATCATCATCATTATCACGTCCACCAGCTTGATGACTCTGTGATGATCTTACTGGTCCTTCACTCTGCTTATAACCCATCATTTTCCTCCCTTCAAATTTAAAAATAGTTAGACGTTGTAGATTAATGAGATTACTTGTCTTATTTATTCACATATACAGACACTATTGAGAAAAACAAAACATCTAAAACTAAGTACTACTCCCTCCGTTTTAATTTACTTGTCGTTTTAGCACTTAAATTTTGTCTCATAATAGTTGTCGTTTTAGATTTTCAATGCAGATGTTTTATAAAAATTTTAGTTTTATCCTCACTGTTTTAATGTCTTGACCAATAAAAAAATTTAGAAAATATATTGAATAAAGGTAAAATTGAAAAATTAATTGTTTTCTTAATTCATGTGCAAAAAACTTATACGACAGGTAATTCAAAACAGACGGATTATGTAAGTAACTAGTATAAAGTTACATTGATAAACAATATTGAACAAGTCCTAAAATATTTTCTAGCTATAACTTTCTTTAAAATGTTTTAACAAGTCCTAAACTATTTTCCATGTAATTAGACCATGATTCATGGATCTTCTCCATCAATCAACAATTATACAAACTTATCTATATCTGCGTATATGTACATTTGTGTGCATGGATATTATGCATGAACAGAAACACAAACCGGTTAGTAGGGCTGATTGATGATCAGAAGGAAGAGCTGACTCGGTTAGGCAGATAACGGTGCAAAGGAGAAGAAACACCATTAGAACTTGACCCATTTTTGAAGAAATATTGTTTCTCATCTCTTGATCTTTCTGTCTTTCTTTTTCTTGACATTAGACTCATATTTATGCAAATGTGGAGGGAACGTTCCACGAAAGATTGAAACAATAAAAAACCCTAAACCTAATAAAACCAAGTTGACTTTGAATTTTCTCCACTAGTCAATAATACTCAATAATCATTAAGTTGACTCTCTTGTTCTTATAAAAAACAAACAGTTACTTATAACTTCTTGTTCATTAACCATTCTTCTTTACAAAGTATAGCGACAAAAATCTTTCAGGATTTTCTGATCCGATCTTAGATCCAATCTTTTTATCCATTGTTTCATATCTCCTTACGAATTTGGATCCGTGATTTGTGATTTTAAACAATATACTTGAAGTTCATAGATCAGGATCCGAGTTTTTATTTTACTTGAATAAATTTGAGCTAGGGACTGAAGAAGGTTATGCCACGTGATCTGGTTCAGATAATTATGGAGCTTATCAAATATCTTTGATATAGCAAAGATATTTTGATAATTTGGTTTGAGTTGAAAATTTATTACCAAAAAGCACCAGTACAATGGAAACCCAAGACCAAAATCAATTGAGTGAAAGCTTAGATTTTGATGTGACAAATGACAAGAGAACTAAATAACAGGAAAAGAGCAAAAACAAAAGGAATGCAGCATGCTTTTATCAAAGGAATGGATCGAAAAACAGACTGATGGAATCGATGCATGGTGTATAATTTTGGCCGCCTTTGCTAGTGATTAGAAATTCTCAAGAGGGATTACTTCTTGGAAAATGCTTATTCAACCTCTCCTAATCTTGAGCCACATATAGCTGAAAAATCCATAGAAGATTTCTCCTTTTTTATGTCGAAGGAGAGCGCTTCAAACACTATGAGAATTTAATCATTAAGCGCCTCATGGAAATCCATGGACCCGACTTGGTACGTTTGGTAACCACATTGAAGTTGAAATGAAGGAGCATGGAAATGAAGTCTTGGTGATCTATCCTAAAAATAAACTCAAACTGTTTCATCGTAATAACATTTGTGTTTTTTATTCTTCTTATATATTTTGCTTATGATTTAGCTTGTTTTGGTTACATCTATACTAGTATTTTTGCAACACTTTGGTGACGGATGGGTAAAAATACTTTCGGGTATATCGGATATCCGACCCGTTTTTAAAATTCATTCACAACAAAATTTGTTGGGTCGGGTTATATTTAACCCAACTCATACACCGGATATTCCATATTTAATAATTTAGATATTTAGAAGATTTGATTAAGATTTATAATTATGATTCTCCTATCATCTTTGTTTGATTTTTTTTAACTGTTTTGAATCATCATATAATACATAAAGTAAAAAAAAAAAATCTGCATATACTGTGATTCGAAATTTTAAAAACGGACATATATTATCCAATTGACGAAAATGTGTGTTCAACGTTCAACATCGATTAAAATATTTAGACAATGATTCAGAATCATATCATAAATAAGAACATTAATAAAATAAATGAGTTTTTTTGGCCAGACGGGTTTGGCGGGACGAGTTTTTGAATCAACAATAATAAAAAGATTAAAATATCATTAATCCGCCGCCTCAATACGGATTAAATCTTTTTTTTTTAATACCACAAATATTAGACATATTAAATCAGTCTCATTTAGAAAAGATTGTATAAAACCAAAAATTGTCCCGTGGTATAATGTCTTGTGGTCTTAGAGGGTGATATGATTTGTAAATTTTTATATATAATAAATAATCATTAAATTTTAAAATAAAAACAAATCACGGGACGGGTTAAGAAATTACGGAACGGTTTATATTTCGGAAAGGATTTATATGCCAGACGAATTTGAATCAATATTTATATACCGCTTTAATACGGGTTCAATCCTCAGTTTATTAATAATTGTCTCGTGGACTTGTGATATATCGTTACTTAATAACAATTGTAAACTATAATATAAATAAATTTGTTATAAGGAAATACAATTTACAAAATATTTTATACTAACTTTAAAATTAAATTATTCCGCGGTGTACCGCGGGTTAAAATCTAGTTATTTGTAAAACCCCTACATCATTTTTAAGAAAAAAAATAACATTTCTGGTTTTTAATCTCAAACTGATTTTTCTGTAAATTAACATTTCTGTAAATTAATTTCTTCATAAATTAATAAAATATTATAATCTTAAAATTATTCATTTATAATTTCTTTTTGCAACATCTATTAGTTTATTTTTATTTGTTTATTTCTTGCAACTATCTCGGACCCTAGCCTTTTAATTTCTTAGAAAGAGTGATTAATAAAGTATAAGGAACTTGAGATCTAATCTAGGAACCAGTTTGATCTTTCCCAAATATTATCTAAATTTAGATTTTAATAATAGAACTTAAATATATTATTCGTGGTATACTAGAACGTATATAAGGTAAAGCTGTTTACTACATTTTCGTATTAGCGATTTTGTTGTTGTTTCTATAAGGTAAAATCGCAAAACATATGTTTTAGACTTATATAGACTAAAACGTATATGTTAAAACAAAATTCAAAATATATTTTAAACACACACTTTGGATAATTAAGAACACTTGGAAATATTAGAGAAACACACATATTATAGATTACATAGTCGAGAAATGAAAAAGTTGGTTTGTGAACACAGAAATTAAACATTACATTATATACTACACCAACGCATACGTCATAAGTAATCGAGAAATTAAAAGCTTATAGCTTGTGAGCGCATAAATTACACATTAATATATATACTAGGGGGCTGGAGTGCGACCACCACCATGTCCACTGCCTGATGGTCCTGTAAATATGTCTCCATTGGGTCTATATATACTCATCAATTTCCTCCCTACAATTCATATTTATGTATTTATTAAGAGAAAAGGCAGGCAAAATATTATAAACGAATTATGTAATATAATCGAATTATAAAATTTGAAAATAGTCGAAAAGAAACGTGGAAGTTTTAAAAGAAATTAATATAAGAAAATGGAGATAATGATGATAATAGTATTAAACCATTATGAGCCCACCTTGTCCACCAAACTCTAAACTATAGTAATTATTAAACCCTGGCCATGCATTAATATGTATGTATATCATATATCAAACAAATGGTATGCGTAAATATTGAATTGAACACTAACCAAGATCAAGTTTCAACATTGTTCTTTGTTAAGTTTACGTATGTTTACATTACTGCGCTAATTGGACACTTTAAAAGCTGACCTACGATGGCATGTAGAAAATAGAAACTTAAACATACATACACACATATATAGTTAAAGACTAATAGGAGAATTAATTTAGTGGTTGCGACCACTCGCTGATGCTCCTACACCCACTTCACTCATCAGTCGTTAAAGGTAACTCCAAAATAAACTAATAAAAGACATTAAGATATTTTACTTTCTTAGCAAAAGCTTATTCATAGTTTTTATTTTCCAGCTAGTCTTTAAAATTAACTGTAATATATGTAAGGAGAAAACTCATATTTATTGAATCCAGGAAAAACACCAAACCTTATTTAAACACACTCTTTTATAATTCAATATAAAAAATATGTATTTTAGAAAATTTTCGGCAGAAAAAAGTTGATAAGAAAATGTGAGATAAGTAAAGAGGAGCGAGGGACATACCATTACCGCCTGGAGCATGGCTACTGGTTGATGATGGTGTTCCTATGGCACTATTGGTCTTATAATTACTCATCATCGTCCTCCCTATACATATTTATTACATGTGAATAGACTATTTCATGAATTTTCGCATTAATTAACACTTAGACAATATTATGCATATGTGGATGTTATATAATTGTTAAAGCAGTTACTGACCGGTGATTGAGAGTAGTGCATGGTGAGAAGGACGAGCAGATTCGGTACGGGAAAGAAAGGTACAAAGAAGCAAAAACACAATGAGCAAATGAACAGAGTTTGAAGAAAACGTTTTATTTTCCATCTCTTATTCTTTCTTTGTTTTCTTGATTGTAGACTATTATTTATAAATCCTAATGAAAAGGGAACATTCCAAAAGGTGTTGAAAAGATAAGCAAACCCCAAAAATATTAATTTTCTCCACCACTCATTTTTGTTGATTAATTTAATTTCTTGTGAAAAGATAATTGACACTCTTTTTCTAAGGCTCCAAATGGTAACATAATAAAAACATTCAGCCGGGTTCAGCCAGATTCAGCAATTCCGCAGTCACCATTTGCATAAAACTAAATTCAGCTGAATTCAGCCAGATTCAGCAGTTTTTTCAACACCAACAGATACGTATATATTCATTTCTTGTAAAAATTCGGATAATAACGAGTACTTAAATTGAATTAAAATATTATCAAAAATTATACAACAAATTTATATTTTAAAATAAGTTAAATTATACATATACGATATATGAATAATTCAGATGCATAATATATCACTACCAGAATAGAAAAGAGACGAATTCATGTTCGGATGACTATAGATAATTTTTGATAATTTTAATAATTTTTAGATAATTTAAAATAAAATTTTAAAACTTCACAAAACAACGTAACTCATACTAAAATATTACTTAAAATATCAAAAATTTTTTTAATAATTTTCTTAATCAGCCTGATCATATTATTGATTAAAATACTAGAAAACAATAGAAAACTAATTAGATAATTTATATTTTATTATCATGTTAATTTTTGAAATCAAGTTTTCAATAATGCTTTACAAAGCTTTTCATTAATTATTTACATATTTTTCATAGTTCAAAAATTAAATATGAAAGAATAACTCAATTTTGCTAACCAATATATTATTTATATTAGTATTAATTTTAGATAATTTAGTATTTATTTATTAGTATAATAGTTAATTAGACCATTGGATAATTTTATATATCTAGTTTATTTAGATATTTTTTAATTATTCTATTAATATTCATAAGTATTTGACGATATGTTTCAGTTAAAGTTTTAATTATGATAGATACTACTAAAAATCACAAAAAATTCAGCTAGATTCAACGGTTACCATTTAAAAATGTAAAAATTCAGCCAGATTCAGCTGAAAATCACTAAAAATTCAGCCAGATTCAGCAATTCAGCCGGATTCAGCCAAATTCTTCGGTTACCATTTAGACCCTAATTGAATTTTATATATTTTCTTAGAAAATACAATGAATGTCGTTCAAAAAAAAAAAAAAGGTAAAATTAATGAAGTATACTATAAGCCAAAAAGACCTTGTTCTTGCTCTAGTTTTTTTTTTTTTTCATTACTAATAAGCTTTTGAATTGTGTTTTATTCTCATTATCTCAAATCTTTAATTTATTAGTACTAATGATAGACACAAAATAATGATATACAAAATACATAATTGATCAAACTTTGAAAAAGCTTGAATCGTGATGGCAGAATAAAACGACTCACACACATAGACACATATATATAACGAAAGATTGATAGGCAAGATCGATTCTAGTGGTTGCGAGTTGCGACCAGCTCTAATTGATTTTCCTACATCAATATGATCCATCAATCTACATCAATATTTTCCACACATACATTATACACAATATAGAAATCAAAAACTTGACTTGTGAGCACATAAATTATACATTAAATTAATATGCACATGTAGTGCGACCACCACCATGTCCACTGCCTGGTAGTCTTGTAAATATGTTTCCATTTGGTATATATACTCATCAATTTCCTCACTACAATAATTCACATTTATATATTTTTATTAATGATATATGTAATTAAATTTCGACTAAAGATAAAAGACATCAAAATATTATAGACGAATTATGTAATGAAAATCGGATTTATGAAATTTCAAATATATTCTAAAAAGGAACGTTAAAAGCTTTCATAAGAAATTAATACAGTATAAGAATAGGAGATAAATGTTTTAGGAGAGAACCATATTAAATGTTCTGGTCCCATACATGAAAAATGTATGAACCTAAACCTAGAAGCTCTTATTATAAAAGAAAATGTTATTGAATTAAACCATTATCAGTCCCACCTTGTACACTCATCATGCTCATCCCCTTCATATTTATTAGTTATAGTTATTTCATAATGTAGATACAGTTAACTTTAGCAAAAATACTATGCAACAACATAATAAAGCACAAAACAGCATTCTATCAAAACCTACTCTTGTGTATAACTCTCGTTCATTCTCATTGAAACTCGTTATCAACTCCTCAGTATATTTTTATAATCCAACGATGACCAGTTCAAAGAAAGCACAAGCAAATTTTTTTTTATAGAAAATTCTAATTTTTAATTTTTTTTTTTATATGAATGTCATCAGTTTCGAGCAAATTTAAGTTTTTTATAAGAAAATGTTTGCTTAAGAAACTTAGATTATATATGATATTACACAAATACGTATATTTTACATTAATGAGACTTTAAAAACCTTACTTAAAATTTAAAAACACACATAAACTTAAAGAGTTACATTCATACTTTTTATTTGAAAGAAATAAGTCATTGCCCGGAAACTAAGGAGATGAAACTTGATCAATGGTGCTACCACCATGTCCACTATGTGATGGTCCTGTACCTATATCACTATTTGGCTTATAATATGTCTCCAATCTCTTCACTACAAAATAATATTAGTATAAGCTGAAGTTAGCGGTGTATTAAAGACGCATAATTACGTAATGTAAATTAGAATTATAGAAAATCTAGAAGTGAATAACTCTTTTGATAAGAAAAATGTGGATAATGTGCAAATATAAAACGAGATTGAATGCTGATGAATTATATTAATACAAAAAAGTTGAATTGAATCATTTAAATTGAATCACAAATCTAAATGATACTGTTTTAAATTACTTATTAATAATTGATACAAAAATTAAAATGTAACATCATTTAGTAATAATCGATGCAATTATTAGTTTGTATGGCGTCAATTGATTAAAACTGATGCAAATCTAAATAAATCTGTATCACTTTTACATTTGTATCACTACATTTGCAACAATCGATGCAATTATTAGTTTGTTTGGCGTCAATTGATTAAAAGGTAGTATCATTTCTGACAATTGACACATATTGAAATCGATTATAACAATTGATGCAAAAATAAAATAAATTTGCATGGTTTCTAATAAAGCGATGTTAATTATTTGCATCATCCTTTCGGAATCATTTTTATGAGTGATGTAAATTCTTTTGTATCAATTAGAAGTAATATAAATATTTAAAATAAATGACACAATCTACCTCTTTTTTTTTTTTTTTGAAGTATAAGAAGATATATGAGTACCTTTCAGATAACTACCTTTACTTTTTGAGGGTGGTGGTTTCACATATATGCCACCATACGGATACGGAGTGTTCGCCATCATTCTTCTCCCTGTATTCATATTTTTAAAATTAAATATTGTTGGATCTAAAGCAAAAAATATCTCGAGGAAATATTTATTCGATAAAAACGTAGGAAGACGAATACGATATATGCCTCTCCTTCTTTCTAAACATTAAATATTTATATTAAATATTTTCAATGAACACTTGACTCAATTTTGAAGAAGTTTTCAAATAGAGCCATTTGACCATGGGAACTTGTCTTATTTATACTAGTCCACGCTAAAACCATTAATCAATCTATGCTTTTTTAATTTTCTGGTCGTATGGTTAAAGACAACACTGAGTCTGAAAAACATATCCAGTTTGGGTACTTCTTAAAATTTCAATCTATATAATAAACTAAGAATAAACCGGAAACTATGGTATAAACTGTAGACTGATGTAGTTTTTTGCTGTAAAAATATGAGTTATCAGTCTGATCAATACAAGTGACTGGTAAGTTTTGTGTTTTAAAAGTTGCAGTATATGTTATTAAAACTAATTAATTAAATATCAATAATAATAATAATAATAATAATAATTTTTACAAATTAAATAATAAAATAAAATAATACTAAAAACATAGTTAATTTGAAATATTTTTTTTTACATAATAGTTATAAAACTAATGACTTACATTTTCCTAGCATATTTAAAATTTTATCTGTATTAAATCTAGTCCTATAAATAATTTTTGGTAACTAAATGAAAATAAAAAACAAATTAAAAAACTTAAAGATGTTAAGAAAATTAAGAATTTAAATACCTATTTTTTATGAAATGTTATTGAATTAAATTAAGATAATAATAAAAACAATTATCATTATTAAAATTAATTTAAGATATTTTCTTCTAATTTAAAACTAATTTTCGTTTTTTTTAATGCAAAAATTATAACTCAACTTACCACATCCTAACTCATGAGAATTTTCATGTTTTTGAGTTAAGTTTTGATTTAGCAATTTTACAAAGGAGATAACTCAAAAATGTAAGTCATTCATAACTCAACAAACTTCAATCACTAATGCAAATTTTTAAAAACAAATCATGATTGGTAACATTTTTGAGTTATCTTCCTAATTCAATGATACCACATAGTAACTCATGTCACCAATCACACCCTATATATATAAATTTAAAAAGTTGTAAAAGCCTGTTAGACGTTTTATTATTAAAATCCCCTGAACTAGATACGAAGAAGAGTTTTTACAACACTTAATATGATATATAGGAGTAAAACCAACTATAAAGTTTATTTGATAAATTAGGTGTCAACGTAGAAAGATTAAATGTGACAAAGAAAAATCACGTGTCTATAACAATTTAATAATAAACGTAAAATCGTTCAAAACGGTCATAGAGCACAGATACTATAGACTAAATATGTCAAACAATTAATTATATATATATATATATATATGCTAACCGGAAATTGGAAGTTGTTCATGATGAGAAGAAATAGCTGAGTCGGTACGATAAATGAAGATGCAAAGAAGAACCACAATGAACACTTGACTCAATTTTGAAGAAGTTTTCTTTCCCATTTCTCTCTCTCTACGTTTACTAGTTTTGCTTCTCTATTTCCATATTGACTTAAGCCTTTTGAGTTTTATAGGCTCAAAATATTCTTAGGAAAATCATATAAATTAGGCATAACAAATGCGGTTATTATAAAAAAGAAAAATAACAAAAAGAAAAGAATGGATAATGATGATTTTTTTCTTGTACCGGATAACGGAAAAGAAAGTGGTTCAAGTGATACTTGGAAGGAAACTATATAAAATATATTTGTATTTGGCCTGAGAAAATGTACGGATCTATAGATAAAATTTCTTAATAATCCAAAAAATAACATTATTCAAATCTTGTTTTTACTGGCTAAAATAATTATCTTATGTTAAATAAGCGTTGGTTAGTGAAAATAAACTTTACAGTTTTGAATTTTTTATTCTCTTTATTTTGTTTATTACAGTCGCATTTTACACACGAAAATATAGGGAAAAATTAATTAATAATAAATCTAGACGAAAAAAAAATAGAGGGAAAAAAACAAAACATATCAATGCATTTGGCATTTTGATAAACAACATAAAAATAAAAGGAACTAAAATTTAAAAATACAACTGTAATACATATCCCTATAATGAACGATGACCAAGTGCGATGTTTATAAAGATAGCGATGACCCTTTTCCTTTGTTTTTCAATGGCATTTCATCTATAAACAATAATAATATGTTTTTAATAAATTAACATATAAGTCAACTACTCAGTTGGCGACCAAAAAACAAAAACAAAAAAGGTCAACAAGTCAAGTCTAAATATTTTGTCGGTGTCTGGGCGACTCACAAAATATCGAAGGTACACAGTGCTGATGTCTGATGTCATGTTTGTGGTCTTAGGTATATTGATACCTTTATGTCTTTTTTTTTTTTTTTTTTCTTCGAACGCCATTATATTAAGTTATCAGAAAGAAACTCTCCGCTAGGGAGAGCCAATCAGGAACCGATTGACTTACATGGGAAAACAGACTATTACGAGCCCGAGCTTTTTTGGCTAAACAATCAGCCCGACCATTAAAATTGCGAGGAATAAATCTAACACTAAAAAAAGGGAAAAAACAAATTAAAGACCGAAAAGAGGCTAGCTCAGCAGCAAAGGTAGGCCAATCTTCGTGGTTATCAAGAAGGGAGATCAGATCAGAACAGTCGGAGGCAAACGCACCAGAAGAATCCCCAATCGAGATCATGCATTCCATTGCCCACAACAGAGAATCGAGTTCCGCATGGAGCGGTGAAAGACTTCGTCGAGCACTTTTGAGTCCTAAATGGCAGACTTTATCCTGTCTTACTAAAACCCATCCAAACCCGCTTAGACTATCATCTGTATGCCAAGATGCGTCAATCTGACATTCCGAGGTCAAGAGGGGAGGGGGTAAGGCAGATACCCCGGGGGGGAGAGGGTCAACGGGAGATCGATCTTTCAGCATTGCTTGTTTCCAAGCATTCGCCTCTTGAATCGCCAAAGCTAGAGTCTCCTGGGGAGGTTCTCTGATATTTTCAAACAGAAATCTATTTCTACTTTTCCAGATATACCAAAGAATCCAAGGGAAGATCTCAAGTGTGTCCTCTTCTATTCCGAATTCTTTCCCACGCCAGAAAAGAAAATCGAAATTATAGAAGAGGGAGCTTCTGGGGAAGATATGCCCCGAGGTGGGGATAGGGGACAAAGCCCAGATTTGTCTCGAGGGCGGGCAGTCAAAGAGTAAGTGATTTATAGATTCCTCCGGGCTTCCGCAGCGAGGGCATCCTTTCTCGTTCCCAATGTGACGGTAGGCTAATCTTTGACAAGTTGCTAGGCAACCGGAGATACATTGCCACGCGAAATGCATAAGCTTTCGCGTGGCAATGTGTATTGCTAGTATTGATACCTTTATGTCTACGAGCCCATTTTTCCTAGTATTATAGATGATAAGCATAGAGCCGGTCTAGTATATTTAAATGTCATACGCGACTAAAAAAATCATATCTTTTGTAAAGTGCACTGTCTGTTTTCAGATTTCAATGTATTATTATTCATTTCATGTTTTTCTCTATATTACAATACGTTATTGCATGTTTGTCTTTATGTTTGAAGGCAATTTTGAATTTTTCTTTTTTTTTGTACAAAACAATTTTTTGTTTTTTTTTGTTTTTTTTGAATTTTTTTAATCTCTAAAAAACGTCAGTTTACTAATGGCTATTTCTTAGGGGCAATTAGGTGAATGACCAATTTCAAACAGAAAATTAAGAATATAGCACACTAAAGCCCAAAACAAAGAGAATAACCATTGGGCCTGTGGATATTACCTGAGTAGCCTCCGTACGTGACACGCGCTATCTCCCTGGTAAAAAGAAGGTCGACGTGTCTGGTCTACAAAAGTAGGCTTATAGTAACCTGCCAAGTTGCACAATTTGTCCAATCAGTAACTTAACCATGCGAAAAAACTTACTTCTTTTGAATTTTAAATTCCCCCGAGAAAGATGTGCGGTTGAGATATTGTACTGCAGTTATTAAATAGACTAGTGAGGCTCTTTTTACTTGCAGAGTACTATATCCATCTGCAAAAAGAATGGATGATGGGGAAAGTAGTTGGACAGTAAATTCAAGGCATCGAAATACTCAGGTAAAAAGCATAGATTCTAGATTCCTTTTATTCCTGTTCTAAACATAGTATGGAATTTATTGCTGCAGACCATTTAAGAACTCATATATATACTTAGCTTTTACACAGATCTGTCTTTACAAACAAGTAAACAATGATATAGTTTCCATTTTTTATAGATCTGCTAACCAAACCTAATTTTCTTTATGCGGCAAAGCTTTGTACTAATATCATAAGTTATGTGTAATCCAAACAGCATAATATATAACCTAAAAAATATTTACTCTGTTTTGTCTTTGTAGATGACGGCTCAGGATCATGTTCTACTCGTTATTGGAGAATGGGTGAAGGTGGATTCATTTATCTGGAACTTTGAACCTACAACGGTGGAGGGGAACCGGTTCCTTCGCCTGCGGGACTCCATGACATACAAAGAGCTTGCAAGCAAAGTTAAAGAGAAGCTGAGACTCCGAGCACATGACGTCGTTATAAAAATGTCATACCAGTACCCTTTATGGATGGAAATAGACGAAGGCAACGGATCCTCGCCACAGTACATATGTGAAGATAAGGATGTTGAAGTTTTCATCAGAATGAGGCGTTTCATTGAAGAGGTTAACCTGTGTGTCACTGTGGTGAAGAAAATAACATCCCAAGAGGCTCAGCCAAAGAGGAGGGAGAAGCACTGGCTGCATTACGTTTCAGCAAACAGTGATGGAGACTCTTCAGAGGATGAATATGATGCCGACTGGCATGATTTTGCACTTAGCGAACACACAACATCACCACAAGAAGGACCTATTGTTGAAGGTGAGACAATTAGATTATGCTCTGTCCCAACAACTGCAGGAGGCATAACTATCCGAGAAACAGAACCTACAATTCGCCCTGCTGGTCCTGCTTGTAAACCTGGTGATAAAGGCAAGGGAGTACTCCTGCTCCAAATCCTACAGAAGTTGATAGTGATGACGAGCAGGAGAATCAAATTGTTCTATTTTCACAGCCAGATATACCCTCCAGAGTTGAATGTAGCCAAGCAAGGGTGAATGACACTATCAATTCATCACGGGTAGCTGTACGAAGCCCTGTTTCAGATTCTGAATCAACTGGGAGCATTGACGGTGATGGAAATGGAGCAGAACATGTTCCATGTGTGATGTGGGGACGAGTTCAAGAGGCATTAAACAAGATGCTACTAGACAAGAGTGATGATCCGGCCTTGTTCTGTCGCGATGCACCTCCTGTCTTTAATGATGGAAAAGGTGCAGGTACAAAAGAAACTTTTTAACCATACATATATGTCTACATAGTACATCCATTTCTAATGTCAATGTTTTCACTACCTAACATTATTATCTAATTGTGTAGATGTTGAAACTGCTTTGGCGGATATAAACTATGAAGGAGACAAGCTGTTTGTCGGACGTGTGTTTAAGTCAAAAGCGGATTGCAAGCTGAAGATTGCTATTCACGCAATCAACAGGAAGTTCCATTTTCGCACCACTAGGTCAACTCCTAAGTTCATGGTCTTGAAGTGTATTTCAAAAACCTGCCCATGGCGGGTTTATGCAGCAAAAGTGGATGCATCTGAGAACTTCCAAATCCGTCAAGCCAAACTGACGCACACATGCACGGTTGATGAGAGGCGTAGCTACCACAGGTTAGCTACAACACAAGTTATAGGTGAGATTATGCAATCTCGATTTGTGAATATCAAAAGAGATCCCAATGCTGCTGTCATTCGCAAGTTTCTGCTAGATGATTTCCACATCAACATTTCATATTGGAAAGCATGGCGTGCAAGGGAGATTGCAATGGAAAAGTCTATGGGTTCTATGGCTGGAAGTTATGCTCTGTTACCGGCATACATCGCTTTGCTTCAGCAAACTAATCCTGGATCACTTTGTTTTTCGGCCCATTCTGATGATCCAAAAGGTCCTACACGTTTTAAATACCAGTTCATAGAATTGGCTGCATCCGTAAAAGGTTATCAATACATGAGGAAGGTCATTGTGGTCGACGGGACATCAATGAAAGGGCGATTTGGAGGATGCTTACTGTCTGCTAGTTGCCAAGACGGGAATTTTTAGGTTTTTCCCTTAGCATATGCTGTCGTTAATAGTGAGAATGATGAAGCATGGGAGTGGTTCTTTAGGCGGTTAAACGTATTTGTCCCTGACACAACCGAGTTGGTTTTCATATCAGACCGCCATTCTAGCATTTACAGCGGTTTAAGGAAGGTATAAATGATTAACCAATTTCACAGATAGAAATTTACAAAATATTAACCTCTGTTTGGCTATGTAAGTTAACTAATGGGCATTATAATTTGGCTTTCAGGTTTACACGGACGCGAATCATGCTGCCTGTACTGTTCATCTGTGGAGGAATGTAAAGCACTTGTACAAGCTCCAAACCCTAGCTGGTTTAATGTCAGCTGCAGCCAGAGCCTATGTAGTTGATGACTTCAACAAAAATTTCCTCCAAATTCAAAAGCTAAGCCCAGGATGTGCTGCATATCTTGTTGACATAGGTAGGTCATTATACTATAGATCATGGTTATATATATTCAAGGGGTATGAGGACTTAAAGATATATATTTATCTCGTTAACATAGGTTACACTATTTTAAAATATATAAGAGTTGTACTGCTTAATGAGTGTTGCTAATGATTATGTAGGATTCTCTCATTGGACAAGGGTCCATTCTATGGGAAAGCGGTACAACATAATGGACAGCAACATCGCCGAATCCTGGAATAGTGTACTGAAAGAAGCTAGAGACTATCCATTGATATGCATGCTTGAATACAATCGTACAACTCTTATGGATTGGTTCGCTTTCCGTAGAGCCAGGGCTGCACGGTCACAAACCACCTTAGCTCCCAAAGTTCGCAGCTTAGTAGAAGCTAATTTTGAGCTGGCAATGGCCATGTCAGTAAGGCCAATAAGCGAGTTCGAATTTCAAGTTCAAATTACAAGTGGTGAATGTTTCAGAGTTAAACTAGTAGACGGGACTTGTACCTGTAATGAATTCCAGAGCCTTAGCATTCCATGTGCCCATGTGATAGCAGCAGCAACAAGCATTGGAATTAGCATGGATAACTTTGTAGCACCGGCATACTTTGAACACACGCTTCGACTTTCTTATGCCGAGAAGATTTATCCTATTCCATCTGTCGGGGGACCCGATAATGCGTTTGGTACTGTAGGGGATCTTAATCCTCCTTTTGTGCGACGTCCACCGGGCAGGCCTAAGAAGATTCAGATCAAATCTAAGGGGGAATTCAAGGTATGATTCTATTCTATTTACTTAACAAGTCTATTCTATTTATCATCATCAGATATTCCTAACACAATGTTTTGCATTTTAATGCAGCGCCCTCGTCAACAGTCTAACAGGAGGTGTTCCCGTTGTTGTCGCCCAGGCCACAACAAGGCTTCCTGTAAAAATGCTATATAAGCATTAGCAACAACCATGGGTTTTAATGAAGGTGTTCCAAAGAAGGTTTTTGGAGTGGGCAAAATAATGGTTACCGCATCAAGTATAGATGCGATGATGTATATATGCAGTGGCTGTGTAGTCCAAAGCTATCACAAAATACTCTGGTATATCCTATCATGGTATATACCATAGTATTTTGGATGATACGCTTATCTATCTATCTCTATGCAGTGTTGTAAATAAGGTTGTGATGCCCAAGAACACCATGTTTTGAAGATTGTAATATATTATAAACCCAGAAATGGTTTAATGTTATTTTGATGCCTAAATAGTATTTTGGATTTTAATTATATGTTGACTAAAAGTTTGATTATCAATTCTGAACATAACAAAAACAAATCAGAATTAACCTAAATCTAAATATTATAGAGACTACTAGAACTATATAGCAACTTCTCAAGGAAACATCAAATACTTTTTAACATAGTAGCAAGTCATCCAAATAAGTTTGCAATAATTAAACAGTAAACAACATCCAATCCAAAGATTTGATACTAGGAGTACAAGATAAAAAGTAAAGAATTCCACCATTTTACTACATAGAAGTCTACAGAGCAATAGGAGTTGGAGAAAATGCACCATTTTACTACATAGATGTCTACAGAGCAATAGGAGTTGGAGAAAATGCACCAAATGCTTCAATAGCATACTGTTTTGCTGCAATTTGGATCTTTTCATCGTCAAGTTCCCTGTAATAGGTTTGCAGTGATGACACTGATGTTTCATCGTCAGAAATGCTTCAATATCACCTACCATTGCAACATGCTTTGGACTGATGTTTGTCTTTGCACAAGTAGGACAAAGAATGCCATCCACCAGAAGCAACAACGCAAGTCTGAAACGTGTCTCATCATCTTTGTATTTTTTCCCTAAAAGCAACTTCTCCAGAATCCATGTTGTTGTAGGCTTAGCAAGATTGCCGAATAGAGATTTCCACAAAGCAGTCTTCAAATGCGCTCCTCTCCTTACAGCTATTCCCCTGCCCCTATCGGGCTTAAATCCAGTCTTCCCACAATTGAGACCAGTTACAAGAGCAAAATCCTCAATGGCATATCTAATTGGCTTACCCGCAAACACCCACCACAACTCATACTTCTTGTTGGTCACCAACTACCTCGAAAGGAGGTAATGCACAAACATTACAGAGAATGTGTGGTTTCCCATCAACATCAAAGAACCAAACTGCGAGTTACACAACCGCTCATTATCAGCATCCGAAAGCGCCTGCTTTATGTTCTCAATCCACCGCAGATTAAAGTAGTTATTCACCATATGCCTTCTAGATGGCTCAAACCCAGTACAGAACATACGTTTAGGCAACGGCTCTTCTTCCATTCTTCACCAACTACAGACCAATAGTTATCGGAATTATAAAACAAAACAACCAGAAATTACTGTTGCAGAGGCGAATGCGTGGAGAAAGGCTTACCGTGTGTTGAATCTAACAGAGATAAAGCACAGTTGCAGAGAACTAAGACTTTATAATTCCGAAATTGGGCTCCACTCCTCCGGCACACCGCGGCTATTCACCTGAGAAAGTCGATAGATTGAGTCAGAAATAGATATGGAGCAATCGACAACAGTTATAGAAATCCCAACCCTCGACTTACTCAGAAACAAACGACAACCGCTAATCTGGCGACGACAAACTTCAAATTCCGGCGACGGAGATGAATCCCAACCAGAAGGTCGATTCCGGTGAAACCCTAACTCTCTGTTTTCTCTTGCGACGAAATTGTCGTTTAATTGGCGGGATTAGACATCGACTTGTCTTTTCACTTTTACGGTTCGTGTTTCTCAAGGTTGCGAAAGTAGGCAACTGTTACTTATGCAATGAGGGTAAACTTGTCTATAATACATGAAATACATGTAATATCGACGGTTCATGGTTAGAATGGTTATAGAGTGAATTATAATTTTTTTTTTGGTTATAGACTGCAATTCCCCTATTTCTTACTCATGGCTATTTCTTCAATTTTTTTTTAGTTAAACGTTAGTTTGTTATATAACCCTAATGAATAAGAAGAGAAATACGAGAATAAGGTTGATGCTTTTAATTATTGAAATACTGATATGCATACATTATACTTGTTCGTTTGTGTGTGTCTGTGCAATCGTACACCAATTGAAGATTATTGAAACGCAGAAACTATAACTGTTATAGAGGCTGTTTCCAACTTTCCATTACAACAAAATCTACATATATAAGGATGTTCTTAATTATCACTACGGAAAAGCTACTATACATATATCCCACAAGGTAATCTGACCTTGGTTAATCATCTAATACTAGACCTTCTAAATTCTTACCATCTACAGTACATTAATTATCAATATGTGGGATTCATATTCATTATTCACCATGCAGCCAGTTCGTTGATATGGAAAACCTCGAAAACTAAATATATAAATATGTATTTAGTCCATATATATAGATCAATACAAAGTTTGTCTTTATGATTTGTCTACTACATCCACAAAATACTGAAACATCAAGGTTATGAATCTTGAAATCATTCTACGTTGACGATGTTTAGTTCTGAAGAAGTTCTTTGATAGATAATCGAATCAGCAGATATTATAAACTTTGTTTATATATAAATATCATAAACTTCATGAAAGATGGAGATATGCGTAATTATACTAATGGGATTGTGCATCATCCAAACAAGTCTCAAACCAACTAATACAAAAGCAATTAATGTTATAAGACCTCAATTGTCATTATATCATTCGGCCACCACCACTAGACTAGAAAGCTAATTTCTAAATATTTTTGGCTATCGAGAAGATTTGAATCCAGGAGTTCCCAAATGATTTGCACAAGGATATCACTATAATAAAGGCGTCTCGGCTAAAAAAACATACTTGTAATTGCGTAGAATATTTTTTTTATTCATATATGATGATTAATACATATAGTTGAAGTCTAGTAGCTTCGATAGTAATTGGGAACGACGATGGAGAAACGTAAACTAGGGATTTTGTTTACCACCACCGGCTTGTCCACTGATTGATCCCCCAAAATCTATGTTACTATTGGTCTTATAGCTACTCATCAACTTCCTTGATCCTGCAAAAATAAATAATAACGTGTATATATTTATGTGTGTAATCGATTAAAAAAGGTGTGCAGTCCAAAAATAAAATATTTTGATAAAATACAATAATGACTGTCACTTGATAAAACATTATATTTTAAAATGGTTAAACTCACAAAAATCTAAATACTTTTCATGTTCTAAGCTTCATAAGACTCAAAAAAAAAGAGTTAATATTTAAACAAAGGAAATAAAAAAAAATCCTATATATATGGCTGAAATTTTTTTAAAAATAAATGTACACTTACTTTGGTCTGGCTTTAAATATTTAAGAATATTTTAACATCAAATTTCAGTTTCTGGATTTTCATACTTATTTATATTTATAATATAATTAATTTTTAAAAAAGCTTTAAAATTGGCATAACTCAGAAGTTATCCCACATGGTATTTTTAAATACTCCCTCCGTTTCATAATGTAAGGCGTTTTGGATAAAGTACTTTGTTTCACAATATAAGTCGTTTTCGAGTTTCAATGCAAATTATATATTATTTTAATATTTTATGATTATTTATATTATGCAGTCTCTTTTATGATTGGCTGAACTTTTAAAAAGTAAATCTTCTTAATCTGCGTGTTTTTACCTAAAACGACTTATATTTTGAAACAGAAGGAGTAGTAAATAGTGAAAACCCATGCAGTAACTTTATTAGTAGCCATATTAATTTCAGCACTTCGAGTTCAATTGGTAATTGCACGTAGTCCTGAAATTATTTTGGATTTTTCTTGTAGAAATATGGATAATTAACCAAAAAGATTTACTTCAATACTAGTTTTTTTTCCCTTTCTAATTCTAGATTAGATAATTGATTTGTTTATGTATATGAGTATGTGAAAGAAACACTAACCGATCACTAGGAGTGATTCTTGTTGAGAAGGAAGAGCAGACTCCGTATGGGTTGGGACCAAAAGAACAACCAGAAGAAACAACACAAGCCCCAATTGTGAAGCACTCTTCTTTTCCATTTCTCTCTCTCTGATCTCGCTCTTTGATAATATGTTAAATTGTTAATATGAATCCCCTATTTATATACCTAATAATAAGAACAATTCATTCACCCCTTTTTAATCACCAATCAAAATTTGACATGTTGTATTAGTTAGATGACATGTCAAATTTGTTTTAGTTAAAATATTTGTTTTAGTTAAAATCAAAATTTGTTTTAGTTAAAATCAAAATATTTGTTTTAGTTAGATGACATGTCAAATTTTGATTGGTGATTAAAAAGGGGGTGAATGAGGGGTGAACCCAATAATTGTTCTAATAATAAACTAAGTTCCAGGAACTAACCAAAAACACAAGAAAAAAATGAAGACTTTTGTTTGTCAGTCTAACTATTCATGGGAGGAGTTATTCCTGAAAATATTTCATTCGAACTAAAAATTTAGAACCATCAAGCCCTTTAACAAAAACAAATTTTGGAACCATCATTAAAATAAGACAGTTAGTAGTTTTGTGGATGTTAAAAAGAAATCGATTAGAGATAGTAGAAACAATGGCTAGAAAGCCACTATGTGGGAACAAAAATTTCTAAAATGTCACCCATCTAATTTCAATTTTCGGAGAAAATAAATTTAAATTTAATTTAAATCAAATAAATGTGAAAAGACAAAAAACCCTTACCTTAATCTAATTATTACGTATTCTTACCTTTTTTTTTTTTCCAACCCAATAACATAACTACTCTTCTTCTTCTTTTACTTTTTCTGGACTTTTTGGATCTTTCACTTTAGATCTCTTTTTTTCCATCATGAAACTCTAGATCTTTTCTTCTCCATGGATCTCTCTTCGCGCTTCTTTATGGATCGGATCTCTCTTCGTGCTTTTTCTCCATGGATTGCTGAGATTCAAAAGTCATAGATCTCTCTTCATGCTTCTTCTCCATGGATTTCTCTTTGTGCTTTCGTCCTTTCTAGTGCGCAATCGTTTGGTGAGAGAATACGGTCCACACACTTCGACGAGGAAGGATAATGGTGGATAATCGGCGACGATGATAGTGAACAAAGCAAAAAGAGACGAATTAGTGAATGTGACGGCTCTAGGGTTTAGAATTACAAATTGCTTTGTTTCAGTAGAACCATTTGTACCAGTTGTCCCTAACTATTTATACTAGTTGTACCTATTTATATCTTAGTTATACCATTTGTACCAATTATACTATTATCTTTCATTTTTACCATTTGTACCAGTTTTCCTATTAACTCTCAGTTATACTATTTGTATCAGTTTTCCTATAATCCTTCATCTGTACCAGTTGTACTATCATCTCTTAGTTGTACCAATCGTCTGTTATTTCATGAAGGATAATTTGGGGATATCACATTTACAGTGGCATTCAGATCACAAAATAACATGTCGGATTCATTTTCTCCATTTAGTGGCACTCTAGCCTCGGACTCGAGATAGTAATACTAGCGGTGAGACAAGAACAATTTTGATTGAAACAGATGAAAAAAATTAAAAAAAGTAAATTAAAAAAAAAATTAAAAGAAGTATAATTTTTTAAATTAATAATCACCAAATTGTTTTAGAAATATCCAACTATTCATTTGATAAACAGACGGATGCAAACCATATATTTTGTTATTGTGGTTTATAACCGCTTCTTTTCAGTTACTATTTGAACCGAATGTTTCAATTGTTTAATTTAACCGACTATATCATTGTTCACTTCCATTTGCCCATTCGAGAGGTAACCTATAAAACTTATAAAGACATATGTGCTTAATTGGCCCAAAATAATTCAATAAAGATTTAAACACATGACAATTTGAATACTGATATATCACGGATTTTACCAGTTTTAACCGTGATTTACGTGTCGATTTTAGAGTCTTTTTGTTGTTTCTAGTGTCTTTTCGAGTCTTTTCAGGTTTTTACACGTTCGGGACAAAAGTGGAGAAAAATAATCATTCTGGAGCTAAACCAAGGATTTGGAGCTGAAGAGACGAATTCGGTTCGAACCAAGGCATAAGTGTCGACCGACACCATTGGTGTCGCTCGACACCAAACACGGCCCAGCAAGAAGTCTCGACGGTTTAGAGTTTTAAAGCCCGCATAATTTACCTAGAAGACTTTCCTATTTGCAATTGTAGTCTCTGCACGTTTTTGAGACTTTATAAATAGTTTTTAGGGTTTTTCTATTTCATTATCTTGTTTTTGGCTTTGGTAATTCTCTGAGCTTGAACCCTTTGGAATATAATTGGAGAGAGCTACTTCAAGAGATTTATATACCCTGTTAGAGAGAAGATTTATTCAAAACTCTTTTCTTCTTTTAATTTCTTATTCTACAATTTATTCATCATGTTTTCTGTTTCATTAATCATGTCTGAGTAATCTCCTTGTTAGGTTTAGGGATTCTCATTAGGGATTTAGATGAAGTAGTAAATCGATTACCTGTTAGGATTAATATATAGAATTCTTCATCTAGGTTGTTCTTAATGCTAGTTCTAGAGTAGCTAACTAGAACTTGATTATAGGATAATAGGTATTTGATCCGAGAGGGCACCTGTTACTGGAACTACCTTAGATGAGCCTGGTTTATAGGTGTGTAATAAGAATCGGCCTATATACTAAGGTGAACATATCAAACCTGAATTTAATGCTAGTCTAGATTTAGGAATTCGGATCGAGTTGTGGAATTACTGATATTAGATTAGTTAGTTAGCGCATCGAGAGTTGGTTAGCTATTCATTAGTGTTTTGAGTTCTAGAACGGTCCGTTAAATAATCCTAATTAATTGCTAGATTTACTATTAGTTTATTTCCTGAAAATTTCCCTAAACCTAACGCTTTAATCTATTGATCTTTTCACCTGAAATCATTGCTTGCTCTTGTTTTATTTTAATTCTAATTATTTTATTTAGCATAATTTCGAGACTTATAACTTTTGTGTGAATAAAAAAACTTTGTGGAATTCGACCCTTAAATGCTGCAATTGATCTCTTATATGAGAGAGTAGGCTTTAGGATTTAATTTGACCTGTATCAAATACTAGTCGTCATGCAGCAAATAAATCTCCCTTACCATCAATAAAATTATTGAATTTCTAATTTTGGAAAAGGTGTTACCTGAGTGAGTGGCCGTTCAATATTTTTTTTTTAAATGAAGACTTTTGGTTTTAGAGTGGCCGTACACGTAGGTTTTATTGGAGTTCAATATTTTATTCAATCATGAGCTCTTCATGTAAAATATAGAAAGTTGGGTTTGGGTTTACCAAAACCTCTTCATGTAAAAATATTGTCCATTCTAGAATTAGTTCAGACATACGAACAATCATTTGGAATTAGTGACGGACTAGTGCTAGTTAAGAAACAAAAGTGAAGAAGTATAGAGGGTACACAACATATACACGATTCGGAACGCGCCGAATCAAACGCTTGTATTCATTCTTATTGATAATATGACCTTTTACAATAGATCCTATTTATCACGGATTTACTTAACCTATTACAAACGAATAGTTAACCCCGACAAAGAACGACTCTAAGCCTAATCTCTCTTCTCTATTCTAACCACATACTTGTGAAGACAAAGAGAGATCTACACACTCCCTTCTCAGCTTTTCAGTTAGCTGCAATGTATACAATTCGATGCAAATATTCTAGAGTGCTAACCTAGGCTTTTGCCTCACTCTAGAGTACTTATACCAATCACGAAAATCCTAACCCTAAGGTCTCCGAGAATATCCCCTAGAGATACACCTTGCTTGTCAAGGTTATCTCTTTCCTTATTCGTTGTAGAGAATATTTACCAAATCTCAACAACTTCTATTTCTTTTAATCTTCATGCCAAGTCACCTTTTTGCTTCCTTGCCATGACACATCAGCCTCCCATAAGTGCCACGTCAGCTTCTAACTTTCTCGCACTCATCAGTCACTTGATGTAGATAACAGATGCCTGTTGACATTAGCTCGTTGTAATCCATCAGCTCGTTGTTGACAGTTATGCATCTTAAAAAATCACTCAGGTTTAACCGTTTAGAAACATATTACATATCTTTACGAGTCATTTGATATCCATATATAAGTTCTCCGGTACAAAGTGGTTCTGTACATCATTAAATGGAGAGCCGTCAACCATGGGAGCTGCCAACCTCCTTAGAAGTCTATCTCCACTACATACAGAAGTCGAGGCCCTTCTTTAGGCGATGAAGTGTATGATTGGTGCGGATAATCAAAAGGTAGCGTTCTTTACAGACTGTTCTGAACTGGTGAAGATGGTGTCTTCTCCAATCGAATGGCCGGCGTTTTCAGTGTATTTGGAGGAATTTCAGAGCGACAAGAAAGAATTTTCAACCTTTTCTTTATCTTTAGTTTCTCGTAGTACTAATGTAAAAACGGATAATCTGGCACGAAAAATTTGTACAGAACCGCTTCATATTACATACGTAAACAACATTTTCCAGAAATGCCTCTTCTGAATTCTAATTAATTTTGGATGAAAAAAAAAAAAAAAATTTAAAGAGTCATTTAAAGATGCATAACTATTTTTGCAATATTAAAAAATTAGTGTTGTCTACGTCGAACCATCTTATTCATTGAAGTTTCAAACTTGTTGGACTTTTTAGGCAGAAATCTTTGAATTTTAATTAGTAATATAAAACAAGAAAATCAAGTGGCGTTGACTGTTTTATTAGACTGACTTTGAATTTTGTTTGGACCATTTAATTATATATGTAGTCTAGTACCGACGTCTTCCAATTTGTGGACAACAAACATATTCACATATTACATATCCAACATTCACATAATATCATCCAACCAAATGAATTAGTGGCTCCAGTTAGAATCTCTATGTGGATATAAGTCAAGAATCGATCCCCTTAGCAAAGAATTTCCATCTCGCAAGTTGGTCATCCGTAAACACCTTGAATAGTAAATAAAACCCATATTTCTATTACCTCGAGATATTTTTAATTTTTTCGGATTATTTTTGGCTTTGGATTTTCGTTACAACAGTGTCAGTGGCTTAGAATGCTCTGTCTTTAAAGTTCATGTCAATGATCAACTATGAACTCAACTGCCGACGACGAAGTCTCTGCTTAAATAATTCCGATTTAGTCTGTCCAATAAAACTAACCATTTATAAAAATAAAATAATATATTATATAATGATTTAAAAAATATATATAAATTACAGAAAATGTAATTAATTTTCTTGTTATTTATAAATAAATTTTTGGCTTTACACAGCCAATTTTCTACAGCATCCAAAATAGTGCTTTTGATTTTCTCTTTCTTCTTCTAATCTTCCCACGTCCTCTCTTTCCAATTTATAATTAATGGAATAAGTTGGGAATTAGTACATTTATGAAACATAATAGGATAATTGGTACAGGTGCTATTCAATAATCAAGAAATAGTCGGGTCTCCACTGCTACACAAATAAGCGTTCTCTCTGATAGAAAAAGAGTGGGGCCTTGAGGTTGTTGTGGAAATTACGTCTGAGAGCTTCCTTCTTTTTACAGGGAAATGAGGAAGCCTCTAGACGAGATGGCGTGTTTGGTTTGTTGGACACATGGGCCAACTGTGATTAACAGGTTTTAGATAGTTTTAAATGGGCCTTAAAATTCTTCCCCATTTTGTCTCCAAAATTAAATAGTACCCGAAGTCAATTATCAAACAAGTCGTCTTCATCAGTGGCGGCGTTGGAGCAGTCAGAAACCCCTGCATTAATGAGAAGTTTATGTCAACGAAATTAGTTGCTAGGTTGGTGTGAGAAATCATATAATACTCAGATTCTCTTTAGATTTTTTTCGAAAGTAGGCAAATTTTTTGGAGGGAAATTTATTTTACCTTTTTTGATGGAAAATTTATTATAAGATAAAAAGAAGAAGATGATTGTCAGTTTCGGTAGGTTTTCTAAGTTCCTGAGGACGTACAGATCAGAGAACAAAGAATGGAAGGTGGAATTCAGTACTGAAACAAATTTCCAAATTTTCTTTTAATGTTTCCTACTGTACTGGCCTAGAAACTGATTCTAATTGAATTTCCTTTGCAGTTGATGATATTGTTGTTGTACAGGCTGGAAGATGGATCTTGTTTAGCACAGGTGAATGGGAGTTCAAGATGGATTCTTATCGGCAGGGGAGGGCGTTGAGTTTGATGGGGTTAAAAACTTTCAGGGATTTGGAGCTTAAAGTGAGGCAACTGTACAGAATGGAGAGCAGCTCAATATCAGTAGAGCTTAGCTACATGTTTGAGGACAATTTAGCACTGTTAGCTGGTGTTCAGCCGGGCCCAACAATGATTCGGTGTGATAGGCAGTTTCGAAGCTTTAAATCTTTAAGCATTGATGATAAATCTGTGAACCTGTTCGTGTGTTTTAGAGAAGGCGCATGGAGTCTTAGTCGGGCCTACCTATGAAGCTCGAAGGATCGGGAGTTGTTTTGCCATGGGTAGGCAAGCTGGAGAATCATCTGCGT